TTTTACAGTCAGCCTCAAGTGGACAAAAGAGGAACTGCAGTTATTTGCACATCTGAATCTTTAGCTCTGAAAAGTTGTGATTTTAAACATAAACACTGGTTCAGAGGATTATGTGTAATGTGAAGGAGATGAACCTGCAAATAATAACCATGCGTTTCAGCTACAAAACATTTTAGCATCTTTGAGCTCATTGTTTTGGTATAATTATTACATCATCGTTACTGTGGTTACAGCTAATATTAGAGCTGTTTTCATCCACTGTAGGCAGAGACAAAAACAAAAATTTAGCTGCAAGCTGTGAACAACTGGCTTTTGAAAACAGTGGAGTTAAGCAGATAAAGAGGCAGATATTTCCCCCAGGAGCTGTAGACCACAGAGGAGCTAAAAGAAGAGTGAGTAGTGGACTTACATTAATATGGTGTACAGAAATGCATCTTCAAATGAAAGCTAATGCTGCTCTGTATCACCTGGATGTACAAATAAACAACTGTTTGGTGATATGTCATATTCATACCCATCTACAAAGCTTATAGATTATGGAGCAAGAGCAAAGAAAGAGACTATGCTGGCATATGGTATAAACGCATTGAGTTAAAGCCTTAAGTCTTCTTGATACAGCAGACACATGAGAGATTGTTATATGACTGTGCTTGGCCTTTGCAGAAGAGCATTTATGCATATTTTTAGGTACAGATATGGCAAACCGTCCAATCCACAGGGTGCTGTATGCAAAGACGAAGACAAACACTTTTTGCCTTCATTTATGATCTAGATTAGACCCAGCTTCGCTCTTTGTCTAACCGGTGACATTTTGACGACAAGACGAAGCTTCACAAATGAGTAAAAAAATGCTAAAATAATTGTAGCATAGATAACACAAACAAAATTAGGCTCTCTTGTTCCGTCTCCACACATCTTAACATGCTCATACAATCATTACCGTATAATGGCTGAACGTTTACAAAGAATGTGGCAGTCTGTTGTCAATAAATCACCACAAAATTAGCTGTGATGAATCACTGGATGGCTCGCGGGACAAAAAAACATGACGGTCAGCGTTAGAAAGAATGGCTTTGTGGTTTCAATTAGTCAAAACTGGAAGTTGTCAGGCTTGTGAAATCTCAAAAAGGAAAGCGAAAAAAAGAAAAAGACAGATGGACAGAAAGGTTGTTCTGATGTTCTGGCAGTTCTGGTTCACATCAAATGCAGCAGAGAGAGGAAACAATAAATTATGAATATATAACGGATGATAACAGCCTGGTGGAGAGAACCGAGGAGGGCCAGAGAACAGGGTGTCAGCCATTCATCGCGCTGAGATATAATTAGAGAGAATCCTGATCTGGTTATTGTTAGAGGCACCGAACGCTTGAGTTGTGCGAGTTAATATAATGCATTGTGGGCCTCGATGCTCATTAGTGCCAGATCACATCGAGGCCTCTTGCACATACAGCTTCATATATGTCTGAAGGCATTAGTTGCAGCACAAATGCTGCCTTCTCACATGAAGATGTTTTAAACTCACTGCAGAAAAAGAAAAGCTTGCTCATTTTTAAGATTGTTATGAATCTTTTTAATGATTAACAATCTTAAAAATATATATTTTTAAATATTTCCCCTTATAACCTCATTCTTACGGAGCCCCGCAGGGGACATGGGAGAAAAAAAATTAAGACGGACTTTTGCGAGATCTCGCAAAGGTTTTGCGAGATCTCGCAAAACAAACTCGGGATCTCGCAAAAGTTTTGGCTGCATTCTTCGGACGCCGGCTCGAAGCCGACCGGGAGGTCGAGGCACGATGTGCCAGGAAAGCGGTGTTCCTCCCGGCTGTAGTAGGTCTCGACCTACCGTTAGCTTCGAGCTAACAGGAGGTCGAAGGCCGAAGAATGCGGCTAAAACTTTTGCGAGATCTCGCAAAAGTTTTGCGAGATCCCGTGTTTGTTTTGCGAGATCCTGAGTTTGTTTTGCGAGATCTCGCAAAAGTCCGTCTTAATTTTTTTTTTCTCCCATGTCCCCTGCGGGGCTCCATACATTCTGGTTAGTAGTATTTTGACTGGTAGTTTAAGTAAATAACCTCTGGACAACATATTAATTTGTGAAAATTGGTAAAAAAAATAAATAAATAAAATATGACTTTCTTAGTCATGAAAATCATCCATCCAGAGGTAATGAAAGTCTCCCTTTTTCTGACCTGGGGCCTGTTCTTCGTACGTCGCTTACTACATCCAAGATCAAATGACACATCCAAGACCAAACTATCGCGCTAATTGTGAGCTCGCTAATCCGGTTCCCCAAACACACCTGCTGTTGACGATTAGTACAGCTGGACGCAGTAATGTGACATCACTGGGTGTCGTAAAAGGGGCTACGCATCGATAGTAGAAACATTGATCGGCAACCCGCTGATTGGTCGGCGAAAATGTCGAAGGGGCGTGCACGGTATTTTCCGGCAGCAGAGCAAGAACTCTTGATTGAGGGATTTCAGGAGTTTCAGAGTTTAATTAAAACGCAAGAGAACACTGCAAAGGCTGCAAAAGCAAGGAGAGAGGGGCTGGCAGAAAGTTGCTGACAAATCAAACTCGTAGGTAATTTAATAATAATAATAATAATGGATTGGGTTTATATAGCGCTTTCCAAGGCACCCAAAGCGCTGTACGATACCACTATTCATTCACTCCCACATTCACACACTGGTGGAGGCAGCTACGGTTGTAGCCAGGCTGCCATATCGCGCCATCGGCCCCTCTGGCCAACACCAGTAGGCGGTAGGGTAGATCTATCATATGACACTATATTGTCCAATATCATATGGCATTATATTATATTATAATATGTTATATTATATCCCCTTTCACATTAGAGCCACAACAGGACCCACAAGAACATGGGAACAAGTAAAAGTGGAATACAGGAGTATTCTACAGAATGGTAATATTTATCTCTTAGATTGCTTTTCGTCTCTTGGCAAGGTAATACTGGCCTGTAATACTCTGTTAGTTTGTTCATAACAGCAACCAAGAAAAGGGCAGAGGAAAAAAAGACAGGTGGTGGTCCTGCACCCCCTCGTCAACAAGTTGGTTAAGTAAATAATACCCTCACGGGAATATAGATATCTCTCAATGAGCACACTGTCGCGCTGAGCTAAAGGATCCTGTCTATCCCGCAATATACGCTGAATTCTGAGGACTCTCCTTATCAATCTTGCACCTTCTGCAATGGGTTGGTCGCGTATACGGACAGGACATGGCTGCGACAGGCTTCCCAAAGCCACCTTCGCTTTTATAGCCGTGGTCTCTCATCTTGATTACACGAAGTAATTTACAATTACTACTCTGAAATATGAATTACATCTGTAATAATCACATACATGTAATAGAATGTTAATAGTACATTTCCCTTTTTTAGGAAATGACCTGTATGTATCTGTATGAAATCAATAAATGGATCAGGTGCTGCATTATCTTTAGTTACATTGATGTTATTTATTTATGGTGAAACAGTGGTGGAATATCGCTGTTGCTTTCGTATAAATGAAGCGGACATACCTGCGTGGCCGCGATCTAATCCTGTTTACATAAAGTAAACCTGCTCCCGAGCAGGTTTACGCTTACGGCTCTGTTGCTATGACAGCAAGTCCCGGATGAGCTTCGGGGAACCGAACGATCCAGGATCACGCGAAATCGTCAACAATCTAATCCAGCTAACTTACTTAGCGAGGTACGAAGAACAGGCCCCAGGAGGGCAAAATTCAGCTAACCATTATACATGGTAAACAATATCTGACAAGCTAAATAGACTTAAAAAATAAAATAAAATAAAATAAAATAAAATAAAAGAGCTAAATGGATTAACAAGCAGCTTGCCAAAAATTGCAATACCTCTAGTGGCCACTTGAGGCAGGCTCCAAAGCAAGCCAGTCCTCATGGACACCCACGATAAAAAGTCCTGCTTTACAACAGAAGTAAAAATGTTTGCAGCCAGGTGGAAAATGCTTTTAGTGTCTGTGGATGGTGTTTGGCCTTCATAACAACTGTACAAGGGTTGAAATTTTGAAATTTCAACCTTTAAGTTTTTTCCAGACTTAACATTAGGAACAGGGTTGACCCTTAACTGCAGCTCTGAACAGTTTGTCATGCCTTTTGAAGCATTTTAATGCAATTATCTTCAAAATTACATGACTTGATATCTGGTTAATTTTTCACAACAGCTGATTCAAGAAGTCTGCTCTCTAGCTGTGGCTCATTAGATAATAGTATGTTATTAGTATGTTATTTAATTAGTAACATAATTAGTAACTTAATTATATCTAATTAGTAGCTTTAAATTTCGGTGATTTTACTCCCATTGACACCTTTGTTGTGATTTGGCGCTATATAAATAAAATTGAATTGAATTGAATTGAACATCGAGCACCTAGCCATGCAATCTGCCTTTATAAACATTTGTGAAAGAAAGAGCCGAGCTCACTGGATTTGAACTGGTACTGTAAGTTTGTACAGTACCAGTACAAGTCAGTTTGTGAACATTTCTTTCCTTCTAGATTATAAATGATCAACTCGTACTGCTATTATTGCAAAGTGGAAGCATTTAGAAGCACAACAACTCAGCCATGAAGTGGCAGACCTCAAAGTTACAGAGCTACTGAGTGCTGAGATAGCTGAGATAGTGCTGAACTAGCAGGCAGCATTATATTAATTTCCCATAATGCCCATTTTAATGGGTCAAAAATGTATAAAACTGCTCAGCAGCAACATCACATTCAATAAAACTGTGTTATAGATGAGCCTGTAAATAACTTTGTAGCTCATTTTTCAATAATGTCACAGAAACTACTTTCCAAGGACCAACTGAGAACCTTCAGATGTCTATTTTATGCCTGACCACAACAAACAAAACCACAAAATATTCAGTTTACCATCACACTATAAAAAATAAATAACATACAATTCTCACACAAGAATTAACTAAATGTAAGGACTGTTTTAAAATTCCCAATCACTCACCATGTAGACATTCAGGTCCTCCCATCATGCTTTGCTGCTGTTGAGGTGGTGGCGGCTGTGGTTGTGGTTGGACGGTCTCCAGTCCAAGCAGTGAAGAAGAAGAGGATGAGGAGGACATGGAGGAGGAAGAGGAGGAGCAGGGCGGAGGAGAGGTGGGAGGACACTGAGAACTCTGGTTAGGCACCGCAGACTGGGAGCTCTGGGAGGAGAACACAAACAAAAGCAGAAATTGTAATCAGAAGAAATTTGGCTTAAAGCGGGAGGAGCTAAAACAGCTTGTGTCAAATAGAAGATGAACAGAGGTGCTACACAAATACACAGGATAAGATGAATGTGAAATGAAAGTATGTGATATGAAAGTACTATTTTCAATGATGAATCATGCAGTGCTGCTCCAGCAGTGTCCAGGAATGGTTCTTTTGAAATCTCATTAGTGCTTTAAGGATTTCTTCAAATTAAAATAGTTCATTAGCTTATAACAGAGCAATGGCAGTATAAGGTTAGCTTAAAGTCCAAAGATTAATCTCACAGTGTAAGATAAGATAAGATAAGATAAGATAACCTTTATTAGTCCCACACGTGGGAAATTTGTTTTGTAGTGCATGGCCCTATGATCGTGACTTATTCACAATTCAGAAGAAACAATGGGACTGATAGACATTAGCCAGCAAACTAAGCAGCTAGCAAGCTGTGCAGAGAAAGGTTAAAGGTGCGCTTACATCATGCCAGCATGATTTCAACTTTAAAATCATGCTTCATATTTGAAATATTCATTAATTATCTGAATTACAAAGTGCGTCCAAACGCTCACAGCAGGATCTTTTCCTACTTTTACATTGCATTTCAATATTTTTTACATTCCTTGCTAGTCTGTTGGACTGTTTCTATGTTATTCCAGTAGAGTTCTAATATATTACAAGGTTTAAGAAAAATGCTCTACAGATGCCACAGAAAGCAGAGATGATGTCGCTCTTTACATGATGTATTTTATTTCGCTCATTCCTCCTTTGGATGCAGCCGCAGGCTGTGAGCAGCTGCAGCTGCTAGTGAATCCGTGGCTATAATATGGTTACTGCTCAGACTATTGCAAATGCAAATAAGAAGAGGTGGATGGCAATGCATGCAGAGCCTGCACTGCAAGTGAACACTGCGAGTAGCTAAAAAATAAATAAACGGGAAAGCGTACGTAGTTTTAAAAAAACATAACCGTTGAAATCTCCAAAAAACATCTGAATTGCAGTTAATTGACTTCCAGTGATCGTAGTGAAGGTCGTTTCAGTTTATCAACACAAGTCTCTGCAGTTCCCACCAGAATGAGTTGCAGAATGCCAAAGATGTTTTTCAGGTAAAAAAAAAATATATGATAAGAGTAGTGAGAGACTGAACTGCTCCATTTGCCACCTTGGCTGCTGACAACAAATTAACACTGAAGGGTTACAGCGAGCTAAGAATGTTTATCTTGAAACTGAAGCCGCATTGTAACAAGAGCATTTCCACCTTATTAAAAAATCCTGGAAACACTCCTGCACTGCAAGCATTGAAGAATCAGCTGGCTCCTTTTGTGACAATGAAGACTAAACGATGACTGGCCAGATAACTGGTAAACTAGCACAGTTTAGCATTAGCTCACTCATCTGAGGTTTTCTCTTGAGGAAATGATGATGTTCCTGCAACTGTTTCATTAACATCTGTGCTGAATAAACATTAAATTGTCTTCTTCCACTATAACGTCTTTTGGTTTGGCAAAATTGAGGTATGATTCATAAACCTGTGGTTTTTGATCTCCATCTATTTTACCTGCGAGGGGATCTGGGCAGTAGCAGAGCTGGGCCCATTGTTGTGCATCCCCATCCCATTCTCAGTCAGGAACTCCTCCAAGTCCATGTACTGCAGCTGGAACAGGCCTCCATCACACGGCAGGGTCCTCTCCCACAGCAGCGGGCCCAGGAAGGCTGACTGTGAGTTGGGTCGCAGTGCGCCAGAGCCCGGGGTTCCTCCCACCCCATTTGCTCCACCGGCACTGACACCCAGAGAGTCTTCATCGGAGTCCAGAGGCTTGTCTTTGTCTGAAGAGAGAAGAGAGTGAGATATCTTCCATTAAGCTGCTAACATTAGTTCTGTTGTTTCGTCTGCTCTGACTAAAGTATGCAATGAAACTCATTCATCCTTCTTTTTCAAGTGTTTGCAACGATAACTCATATTCGTTCAGCATCAGACAACAAACATTTTCAGTGTTTTCTTTCAAAAATGGCTCAAACTACAAAACCCTAAAGTTCTCATCCACATATTTATGTAGTTTAATTGCAGTCCTTTGGTGGAATCTGTATCACAAAGAACTCTATATATTAGACACCTAAAAACTTATCTGTGCATGTGCTATTTTGCAGATGCACAGATAGGTTTGTGCATCTGCACAAACTTATCATGTTCTTCCCATGATGACTCAGCAATGGCAATAGAGCTCAGGACCCCTAAGCATCGTTTTTACTAGTGCAGCTGTGAAGGTTCATAACCTAAAACACTGCTTTCAGTTCCTTAATGTAAGCAAACAAGAATCTGGGAAACTACTGGTTTTTCCTTTGGGGGACTCTGACAGATTTTCTGGATTTCCACTGTCGCTAGCAGATGTTCAGGCCACATCTTCTATTTCTATCTGCCAGACATTGTTTGTGAATGCAGATGAATCTTTAGAAAAACACTGAATCGTCATCATGCATTGGTTATTCAATGCAATTCAGTAATTACCAGCCCTCTTTTGTTCGCCACATAGACCTTTTAAATGCATACAACCAAAGCCTGCTCAAATATGTCTGGTCAATCGGACTACAAAAAGTCTCCGAACAAAACCCAGGAAACTTCCCAGAACACAAAACACAATCGAGGTTAACCTCCTGCCAGCCACTGTATCACTGACAAACCACTGAGGGGTAGGGTTAGGCTGTACTTCAGCTACGTGTTTTTAAAGACTAATTTCAGAAACTAGACAACATTATCTTCCATGCATTTAACGTCTTTTATATGATTTCCATCTGAGGGGTAAAAGAGGTGAAAACAAATCCATACAGATGGACCACTGGGAGCCTGAACTTAACCCTAACCAAGTCACTGGTGATCGAATGGATGTTAAGAGGTTAATCAAACACAAGTGACAGCAAAAGTAAGCAGAAAACCAACCAAAACTGCAAAATGCAAAAATCCCTAACACCACCCACAGTTTCCTGGTTTAAAGACCCGTCTCTCTCTCTACCATAAGTGGTATCATCCAGTTCAGAGCAACAATGTCACGTGCTCCAGCTGGCAGCTTCTGAGGAAACATCAGAATGGTTTCTTTAAGATAAGAATCGCTTATCCTGAGCTGAACACTGCATCCTAAACAGTTTAACATGGATACAGGTAGTATTAAGGGGTGTCCACACAGGAAGAGACTAGCATGGATGTATCACTGAATGTCAATGTCTGGGAGCGAAAGATAAAGTTGATATGACTGGCTGAAAAACACATGATAGCGTCACCTACACCCCTGGTGACCTGCCGTCAGCTACAAAGCAATGGCTTCATGCTTATTTCAAAAGAATCCTTTGAGAATTTGAAGTAACATCTGATCGATATACAGCCTGAGGTTGGTTTCTTGTGCAATTCAGCTCACTGCGGCTCAAAGAGGATCAGACTGACATGACTTTTGCTTCACAAAGCATGAAAATAATTTTAAAAAGAGAAGCCACACAAGCCAACAAAGATCCAACAAAGGCTTGTGCCACTGCCTGGCACACATGTCCTTATCACCCTATAAAGCACTTAGCCACAATCATTAAAAGGCACCTATAAATAAATTGAGCGACCTTGCACTCTGACCTCATCGTGAAAGTCCGATGGAAAGATTAACCATCAATAAACCATCACCAGAAAAAAAGGGATTGTTAAAAGAACAGGAAATAAAGGGAAGCACTTCATGGAAATATAGACAATGATAGCTTTGTACTCTGCCCCTTTGGTTATATTGTTCAAAAGGGTTACATTGCCAAAAGCCCATATTGAGGAAGTGGCACGCTGAAGAATAAAGCCCCATAAAACAGCACTAAAAGAGCATATTTAACAGGGCTGGAATGACACAGAGACAGACTGTGAGTTGTGAAGAAAAGTGAGAGGCTGGAGAGAGTATCAGTGAGGCTGGAAACTTATATTTAAACGGATTAAAGTATATAAAGACGTGAGAGATCACAGCAGTGGATGGACAGATAGGTACTCAGAAGGTGGGAGGAGTAGAAAATAATCTGTCTCTGGCAGTATCTTAATGATCTGGCTGCCAGTGTAGTAAGTTTAGCTACAACCAGAGCACAAAACTCACAATCTTTGCTTTCTGGAGACTGTTTGGTTCTGTAGTTTAAGATGCTTCAAAGCTAATGTTCGTGATTTTAAAATAAAAAGAGCAAAAAAAGAGAGATGCAAAATAAACTTAAGAAGAAGACAAATAAGTGAAGTATCCCAGAAACAACATTCAGGTGGAACATTTGCAGCCTGATTTATGGCTATTCCTTACGTTTGGTGGTGCAATCACCATAGCAACAACAACCAATCACTAACAAGGCAAGCTAAGCGAGTTTTCATCGGCCTGCCTGTTGTGAAATTTGTTCGTAGATAGCGGGCTGATTATTCACCACAATGATCAATTTCTCCAACGTGTTGATGCCAAACTGCAAAAGCAGCCACCTCACGCTCTCTGTATATTTACTTGACCTGATTTGACTAGTCTGTGTGTGTTAGCCCTGTGATAGTCTGGTGACTTGTCCACTGTGTACCCTGCCTCACGCCCTGTGACAGCTGGGATAGGCTGCATGCCAGCACAACTCTGAAGTGGATAAGCAGTTAAGAAAATGAGATGAATGGATGGATGATGTGACTGGTAGCAGTGGTGTCGGTAATTGCAAAGTTGAACTTTTCTCAACTTTTCAGGGCGACCAACGTGAAGGAAAGAACTCACAATTCTATTTGGCGGTACATATTGTCATTCAAAATAAATGAGAATCCGGCCTAAATGCCTCCAGGTCACTTAAATTTTTCCAGGAAAAACAGCTCCTTTACAGTTAGTTGATTTTGCAACTGATCTAAAGCCGACGGAGAAGCAAATTGGAATGTCCTTTTTCCAAATCTAATCCAAGCTTTAGGGACAGACAAAAGAAAAAAAGTCTTGGGATCAAATTCAATGACTTCTTATACTTTTTTGACAGATATAGGTCAGTAAGTGAGATTGGAGCAGGCCGAGAGCTTCCTAATAAGAAATAAAAGGGCAAAGCAACCATCCAACCTGAGCATACAATATGCAACAATGCATAAGCTTTAAGGTTTGCAGTGACTATCAGGCATTGTGACAGACAGTATCTAGCACATGAAAGCATTGCAAAAACACATAAAGGTGGTAGCAGCAGATCTTTTTCTTGCATTAAAATAAACATGGTATACTCTCAAGTATATACTCAGTTCAGCTGAGTCAAACTAGCCACAGTGTCGAGCAGACACTTCTAAGATATCACAGGAGCTTAAGTGAAGTAATTCAAGTGCAAAGGAAAATGAAAAGATAATCTAAAAGCAACAGAGGGCAAAGTCATTAAAAGACATGGGGAAATCCCTTTTCTGTAAAGCAGCGTGAGGAGGACCAGAGGGCGAATGGATGGGAGGAATAAGTGGAAGTGACACAGCTTAATCAAAGTGACACTTTGAACTCAAGTGGACAAGTCATTAAAATCTGACAGACTGCGAACTGACCCGCAGCACAGCAGAGAGGAGAGGAAACGTGGCAGTGGAGGCTTGGAAGAAGAGATGATCCATGCAAATAGGAGTGAAATGTGCAAAAAGAAGAGAGAGAGAGATTTACAAGGGGAGGAAGAGGAGAGGGATGCAAATAAATGGCTTTGGAAAAAAAAATAAGTCTGGGTGATGAGAGTAAAAGATGAAGACAGAGAGGAAGGGAGACAAAAACCTGAGAAAATATAAATCAGCGGAGGGACCGCTGTGTGAAGCGAGTGGAAGACGAGAAGAGAGCAAGACAGGAAAGTGTGAGAGGGAAAACTCAAAGACATGCAATACAGAGAGCGAGAGAGAGAGAGGGAGGGAGATGTGCTAGATAGAGTGGGTGTTTGTGAAGGCGTCAAACAAAGCTAGCCGGGGGGGGGGGGGGCAAGGCAAAGGGCTGCATTGTGGAAGGGGAACAGCAGCTAAATCAGGGGCAAAAACATCTTCTTTATGCCCCTGAATGCCTCTCCTCTCATTAGGAGGATACTGTACTGAGCTGCTTTCTGACTCCATGGAGAGACTGTCAACTGTGTTCACCATCATCTCCTCCTCCTCTTCCTGCTCCACAGAAAGGAGCTGTAGTGGCACCAAAAAGCCACCAGGGGCCAACAACATGCAGGGAGCCACTGGACAGTGCCATTCCTTTGCCCCCCGACCCCTCTCTGTGAATGTGTGTGTTCAGTTGTATCCACACTCATGAGGCACTGACTCTTGACAACCTTCTGTTCTTGTGAGGACATGTTTTTTATCTCTTCGTGTTAAATAAATGTGTTTTAATTGAGGTTTAACTTAATTTACTGGTACTCAGCGGAAGAGAATCAATGCAAATCGCTGCCTCGCAAGTGTGCGTATGCGTGTGACAGCAGCTGACTGGGAGTTATAATATCCCCACAGCAAGAGAGAGGAAGGAGAAGCAGGCTGGTTAATATTTGTTGTGGCAGCTGGAGGATGGGAAATAACTCAATCCCACTCAGTAACCTTTATTTAAACAAACCAAACGACTGCTGCTTCTGCTGCTTTGGCTGGATTTTTGATGGCATCCACTCCAGATTGTGTTTCTTTTTTTACACCCTCTTCTTCCCTCCTCCTCTTCCTCCTCCTCCTCCTCATCTAGATCATTTCACTTCACCACCACCAAATGCAAAAGGGAAGCGTTTAATATAAAAATGCAGCAGGCCAGAAGGAGGAAAGCTTGCAAAGAAAACAATGTCCATGTGAGTGTGTGTTGGATAAGCAGGGCCTCCTCTGTGTTTTACAATCACACCTACCCACTCAGTCACATGCACACACACACGTTCACACACTCATGAATAATCCCTGTGACATTTCTGCAAAGAATATAAGCTACTGTTTATTGTTTGTTTTTCAAATCAGAGCTGCAGCCCTTTATTTCTTTCAATATCTCTTAATTATCTTCTTCTTCTTTTTTAATCCTCATGACAGCAGCTGGTAATGTGTCCAAAACCCTAATATAATCAGCTTAAAATCAAGCAGACATTTTTCCACATATGAAAATGTTGGGAACAAAGGCCAAATCTGGCTTTTTCAGTTGAGTAAAGGGATTGAAAACGTGGCCCAATAAGTCCTTAATCACAAATTTACAGATAAATTTTGCAAATGTGTGCGAAAAGCTTTGTAAATAAAGTTTATATTTACTCTCCTTTAGTACACTTAATGTGGACATTTCCTATATGCATCACACATACATAATACAGGCCTATACTGCGCTTGCAATACAATGAAATTGGCCTCTGTACGGCTGAGGTATTTCCCTAGTGGCCCTTTAAGAAGTTTGTTCCTATTGGATCCCTTACTCACACGGGTACACATGCCCACACTCACCTTTCATCTCGCAACAGTCCTTGGGGCCTCTCTGGTCTGCCTTGATTGGCACCTGAAGCAGAGACTTCAGGTTGGTCATAGAGGTCAGGTGTCCACCTTGGGGGCCGCTTCCAGCCGGGTTGCTGGCCCCAAACTGAGGGCTTGTGGCCCCGGCAGGGAGATCCGGTGGTAGGAGCTGGGTGAGAGGCCTTGACATAACTTCTCGGGGGGAATAAGAGGAGGAGGAGGAGGACAGGAGGAGGTGAGGGTAGGAGGAAGTGGAGTGGGGCAACCTGCAAGAGACCGTAAGATCAAAATAATCCACTTAGTGATGCTAATTGACGGGCGCGCCTTCAAAAGGTGCGCGGACAGGTGACGCGTGTGCGCTCAGGGTGTCCACCTGATTGTCGCCAGTCCCATGCAAGAAAATGTGCGAAAGAAAAAAAACGAAACAAAAAAGAAAAAAGAGGGAGGATTTATATCCAAAATGGCACCATGTTGACCGAGTCTAATTCATCCTCCAGGAGTAGCTGTCAGTCGGTTAGTTGGTCGGTCGATCGCTCGGTGAGTCCAGAGGGAGCTATAAACAATATTAAGAGAGCAGAAATAAAGGCAGTAGAAACAGCGGAGTACAGTCGAGTCGCGGCGGTGGGAAGTCTCCAAGACAGAAAAGAGCGAAGAACAAAAAGAGGGGCGAAAAAATGACAAGATGACGGAAATAAAGAGATCCCCCGGAAAAAATAATAATATCCAGTAGTATGAGAGACGGATAGATGGGGCTGATGGCTCTTATTTTCCTCTCTCTCCCTCTCTCTCCCTCTCTGCCAGTCAGCTGGAACCAACACGGGCCGCTCGTGTGACGTCACCGCTCACGGGGGAAAGGCGCTTGGGGGCGTGGATCGTTTGCATACAGCGGCAACGCCCACACAGCCCAATTGACCACGCCTCTCCCTCCCGTGTACTCAGAGTCTCGGCGCTGCATTTATGACTAGTTTAAAATTTGGTAAATGTGAACTTCAAATTATTTTGCTCTTTCTCCTTTGTTTTTTTTTCAGGGAAACTGAACAAAACGTTTAATCTCATGACAAAAAATAAGTCCTGTACCCGATGTTGACATTCCCATGTATAATAGAGGTCCTTCTGGTCGTCCAAAAACAAAAAACTATTGGGACTGCAGTCAAGAAATTAAATGAATGTCTATGACTGACAGTTAATGTGGTTACTAATTAAGAAATGTTGAAAATGTTTCTGATTAAACGATCACACAATGTTAAAAATGTTAAAAAGCAAGGATGCAGCTCAAGGATAAATTATATTATTTTGCTATCAGCTTACAATACATGCTAGATTCAAGCTGAACAAAATAAACCAAAAAAAAGGGAAAAACGCAAAACAATTAAGTTAAAGTGCAAACATAAAACATGAAGGCCTAACAATGTAAATGCATAAAATAAAACACAAGCTAAAACGATGGCAGCTAGAAAATATAATATAAAATAAACTTTTATGGAAGAAAATATGTTAAATTTCATAAAAGTATGAAAACAACAGATAAAAAATATGGTAAATGTTATTAAAAAATTAAGCAAAATAACATTTATTTAATAAAAAGAATAAGAAAATAATGTTATAAAAATGTAAAATTACAAGATTACTAAAACGCTACCGCTTCTCGTGAATGCAACACACATTGACACTAAAACGTGACGCCTCCATGAAGTTTCAGCCAATAGCGGCCGCATGTGATAATTCCTGGATGGCCCGTGAACACGCCTCGCCCCGCCCCTCTTCTCTCACGCTGTCACTTAAACAGCGAAAGCAGAGCCCGCCGCGTGTGTGTGTACTAAAATGAGATGCAGCTCCTGAAACGTCAGGATGTTTACCTTTTCCACTTCCTTATCTGAGCAATAAGGGAAAATACGATTACTTTTACCCCGAGTTCAAACGCGAACAAACACAAACGGTCTTACCATTTCCTCCACACTAAAAACATATACACGCTATTCTTTTTAACAAAAGAGACACTTAAATAAAGGCCCGCTCTATTATACTGGCAGTACACCGAAACCATTAATTTATAACTGTTTCCTTGAATATTGTGAGTATGTTTTAACTCATACATAAACTGTTTGCTGCGAGGCTTCAAAATAATAGAATAAAAGTCATTGAATTGTCTCAAATCCGATAAAACCACCCGAGGAGCAGCGCCTCGTCTGTTTTCTCCCTGTTGGATGTCCCTATCTGACTCTCGCGCTCTCAACAACAAGCACATGGACCCGGCACGCGCCGACTGTTGCCTACCGGCGACTGTGCAGCGCTGCTATTGGCTGAATCTAGGTCACTCGCTGCGGCTCTCAGCGCTCTATTGGCTAAAAATAGGTCACAGTCTCCGCCCACAGATTTCCCCATGCCATGGCCGCGTGAGAGCACGGTTGGAGGGAAGGAGGGGGGTGTTTATGTTTCACTTCTGAAGGATCCATTAAAGATCATATTTACCTTTTCATCGTAAATGTTCCGAAGGCACAGACAAACTAAGGCAAAGTAAACAAAAAATACAGCAAGGACTTCATAAAACAAAGACAACGTTAATAAAACGGATAAACAGCAAATAAACAATAAATGATCCAAAAGCTCTTAATTTTGTTTACACTTTAAAACCATTTTTAGCATTTCAGTGATTTTTTTACTACAATGAAGTATTTTTGCTGATTATTAATTATTAATATTTCCGTCATATTTTGAGTGTTTTGTTTTGTATGCTTTTTAGTTACATGTTTGAACTTTTTTCCTATGTTACCAGACAGATAAAGTTGAGTTCTAAATCTACATCAGTGGATTTCATACCAGTCTGTATGAAATTCTTAATTTTTCTTATTCTTCGATCATCTGTCTCTATCTCACCCCACCCCTATAGTTCTCCTCTGTCACACCAGCACATCTGCATGTCCTCCACTAGATCCATGAACCTCCTCTGTGGTCTTTGTCAACACCTTGTTGTCCAGTATTTCCACTATCTCTCCTCTGCACATGTCCGAACCATCTCAGACTCACTTCACTAACTTTGTCTCCAAACCTCTAAAGCTAACTTGTTCTTAACTCCACTTAAGATACCACCTGCAACTTGGCTTCCTGTCTTTAGTGTGAAAGAAGCAAAAACATTTTTATTATCATCTTCTTTTTTTATCCAGGCAAAAGTCAAGTTAGCAGACACGTAACAATTAAAAAAAACCATATGTGTGATTTTGGCCTTTAGAAAAGAACCCAAGTGTTTTGGCAAGCATTAAATCATTATAATAAACTACATAAAAAGCGGGCTATAATAATACTATTATTGCTATTAAAGAGCTCTTTTCGATGTGAAACATACCTCAAAATACTGGTGTACTTTATTTTGTCTTCTAAAACAAAGTCATTTCTGTTTAAATGTTAGCCATACGCTAGCATTGCAAACCAAACTAGCAGAAGTCATTATTACAACATCCTGTAAATGAACGAAAAATGCAACTGGTTTAAAACGTGACTTCTGCTGCTGTCATTCATGGTTCCTGGAAGCGCCTACACATCTTATGTTATGATGATATAGTGATGTTACACATACATGACAGGAATGTGTGAATAGTAAGAAGCCAAAATAATCTGCCTCACACACAGACACACACAGAGCAGCTGAGTGCGTGCACGCTGGCACGGATCAGCAAAAAGTGTGAAACAACAGCTTGACTCCACTAATGTGTGATCTGAGTTTCATGAGGCGTTTCGAATCAAAATTATTTTCCTCTCATCCCTTCCTCCAACACTTGGGACTCAGCCATGTTTTAAAGGATATTTAAATGCTGCCATCTCGTGACTGGTTGTTGGTATTGCAACAACTTAAAAAAAAAACACCCCACTTCCCACTGGTGTTTTTTTAAGGGTTTACACCTAATAATTCATTCTAAGATTTTGTGACGTGCAGAGGATTTGAGAGCGGGAAGATCAGCTGAGTGTGCATGAAAGAGCACACCTGTCTGCCTGTTTCGGGTGTTTAAGGCTAGCTTTGTCACAACTGTATGTGAGTCGGGTGCTCAGCTTGTGCCAGGCTGTTTTCATAGTGTTTTCTCACAGGCAGCATGAGAGAGATACCACTTCACGGTCCCTGCAGGAAGAAAGTGTGGATAAAAATATCCTTAATCCGCTAATTGTCTAAAACAAACTTTGAGGGGATGGAAGTTTTTTTTGTCTTTGTGCGAGAAACATGATGGACGCCCACTTAAGTCCTATGCTGGACCTTGAGCGTGGGGTTAGGGTTATAGCTGAGAAGTTTAATGGCAACTGTGACATATTTACTGCTGGAAAAACAAACTTTAACAGCATGTTTTAAGTTGTGGAATATTACTCTAAAAGAAAAAAGAAGAGGAAAGTTATTTTAGATATATTCACTGTCAGTTATGTAATTTCACTATTGCACATATGAAGTTAATTTAAGATAAAATGCCATACCACAAAGCTTAAATAATCTCTGTTTCTTGAACAACCACAGCTACTAGATCTCAATCCAGCAGTACCTTTGGGATGTATTGGAACTGCAAATTCTCATTGTAGATGTGCAGCTGTGCGATGCTATCATGTTACTGTGGACAAAAAAATCTCTTGAATGTTTCCTTGATGAATCTATGCTATGAAGAATTAAGGCAGTTCTGAAGGCAAAACAAGGGTCCAGCCCAGTACAGTAAAAGTGCAACTAATGAAGTGACTGCAGAGTGTATGTTTTCAGTTGTGGACTTCATGGTTCAAAGATGTGACTAATTAAAACACCATTGTCATGTTTTGGGGGAAACCATGGCAGTGAATGTCTTCTCATGTAACTAACAGTTTCCTCAATGCTATCTACATCTCTCCAACTTCATTTGGATTCAACTGCAGGTAAACTTGTTGAAAGATGTTGAAAGCTCAGTTTTATCAGTACAATGTTGTCATGTGAGGGAGATCAGTTAATCATGTAAAATGATGCACTTTCCTTTATGCTCCATTTACTATCAAATAACCAACATTTCAGGAACATTTAAAATATACATCCTATAACATGTCACTTAACTAAAAAGAGATGAGTGCATGAAACAGAAGATTTAAGACAACAATCAATGTTTCAGTTTTTTTTTTTTTTTTTATTCGATTTGAGGGTTTTCAACAACTCACTTTTAGGCAATGAAAAGGATAGTAATTTAGTAATAATATTACATGTTTTAGTTTTACAGGTAAAAGAAAACACACATCTGGACAGGACCTAAGTAATGAACTATGTGTACACGCTTCTGTTACAAAAATGGGGCATCAAGTGTGGCAATGAGGGAGTAGGTAAAAGGGGGCTCAAGGAGGAGGGGGGAGGATATCACATCGATACATATACTCATCCCGCTGTTTTACAAAGTCAGACCCTGACTCGTTCCCTCCCACCCAAACATTAGCAACAATGATAAAAGAAATGATACTCGGTGTAAGAAAAAAAAAATCAATATATAATAAAATATAATACGAATTGTACAGTACACTTCGGTTATTTCTCTTCTTCCTTTTCAAATCCTGAACACACTAACAGCTCCTGTTCTCACTCTCTGTTCACGCTTCTTCAAAAACATCATAAAGTAGTGTACATTAAAAACAAGATCAACACTTTGTTTGTCCCAACTGTCTCCCTTCAGTCTCTTTAGACAAACAAACCCTTTATTGTCCCAAGAAGCTCATTAAAAATGACAATAGTGTCACATCAGGATTTCTTTTTTCCATTAAAGATAAATTTATCTTGAGGGCAAATTTCATCTCAGTATAAAAAGAGAGTTCTTCCACAGGGGCAACAAATAAACACAGACCAAGAGACAGACACGCTACTGTTTACCGGTGAATAATGTGAACGCAAACTAGAACTAAAAAAATAGAGATGCACCGATATTTGGAGGGATATCAGTACACAAGAAGGCATTTACTGATATTTGTGTGTTGTGTTGCGTTACTTTTGTGCTGGCTGAGTGTGATGAAGAACAGAAGACTTTAACGGAACTTTATGCAAATCTCTGTTGGAAAAACAATTTGAAACTTTCCAAAATGTAATAAATAAAAAAGTGATTGTATATCTAAAAGATTTTATATCTAAAAGCCACTTATTAAAGTTATTAAAGTGGCTTTTAGTACTTTCCTCTATCGCCACAAGATGGTGCAGTGAGTCCATGTAACCTGGCAACTCATTACAAACATCCACCCATCCCTCCACTTGAGAAAATATCAAAAGTTAACTGAAAACACCAACCGATAAAACTGTGCCCCCTGGTGGTCAAACCTGGCAGAACATAATTACAGGGGAAAAAATAAAAATAAACTTTTGTTTCATAGTTGAGCTGTGTAATAAATAAAAATAAACACTAAAATATATATATAGGTATAAATCTGCATTTCTTTTGGTCAAATTGTTTAATATCGGTGCATCCCTACTACCGGAGATACATCCCCTCTACAAAAGGCATCCAATCCACATTTATGCCCAAACACTGATGACCGGGGATTTAAAAAAAAACAAAAAAAAAAAACAGAAACATGATGGACAGGAAGCCGAATCTGTTTTTAATAACAGATGCTACTAAAGTCATGTGGTCTTGAGTTCCTTCACCTTTGGGGAAGAGGAAACAGCCTGTGATGGTGGTTCTGATTTTGGGCCTTTTGAAGTCCACTTTAATTTATCGACCACCGTTGCTGTGGTAAGTTAGGATTGTACACAGGAGGAAGGCTTGAGGTTATTACTGTAGTTACACTAAACCCCATACTTCCACCTTTTTTTTTTTCTTTTTTGTTAAAAACTTGCTAGCTCTTGCTTGCTTCTTGGATTATTTAAAAAAAATAAACATCAAAAACAATCTAATCTAAAAAAAAAAAAAAAAATATGTTTACTGACTGTAGTCAGTCAGAACCGTTGATCTCTCAGGCTGGACCAGACCTGGGACTGGCAGCTGGACTGGTGAATGTTCATCATCTGACGATGGAGATCTCATCAGTCCCCAGCTCCCACCCCCACTGCTGGTGGTCGCCCGGCAGCAGAACTTGTGGCGGGCGAGTAGCCGCGGGTTCCAAAAACTGTGTCGGCATTTGTGGCATTGGAATGCAGCTTGTTTAAGATGCTGGCCCCTGTGTTTCAAGGCTTTGTATAACGAACTGGTGCGCCTCTCACACACCTGGCACCGCAGACGGGCATGGCGGCCTGAGTTCCTAGGTGGGTGCCTAATGGCGTGATGGACCAGCAGAGAACCCTGCTTGGCATACATGGTGCTTGGGCAGATGGGGCAGGGGAAGCGTTTGATGGGGACGTCCATCGATGTAAGCCCCGTGACCCTGACGGCGCCACCGCACCATGACTTCACCTTCATTACACTGCCCTTTATCCTCAACTGTGCCAGGAGCTTTTTTTTGTTGAGCTGAGCCTGTAGTCTGCCCCTCTTCTTTCTCAGAATCATCAGCTTCCTGCGCGTGTCTTTACTCAGGGGCACGCCCACCAGCTTTCCGTCCCTCATGATGCTGTGGATCACTACTCGCCGTTTTTTCTTCCGGTGCTTTCTTGTCTGCCCATGACGCTTTTGGTAGTTTTTTGGGCGGTAGTAAAAAGGGTGCGGGTGTTGCTGCTGTTGTTGTTGTTGCTGTTGTGGTGGGGGTGGCGGAGGAGGAGGTGGTGGTGGTGGTGGCGGCGGCGGTTGTTGTTGCTGTGGGTTTGGTTGTTGTCCGGATGTCCCCTGTGGCATGTGGGAGGAAGCAGCGTAGTTGGGAGCTGAATTAGAATCGTAGAAGAGCGGGGAGTATCCAGAGGGTTGGTTCTGATTCACGCGCTGACCGTTGCGGTCAATGCCATGCTGAGACAGCTTGTGCCGCACTAAGCTGTTAGAATAAGCAAAGGCTTTGCCACACACTTCACAGCGAAAAGACTTCTCCAGCCCCACCCTGCCGCCATGGACAGTCTGCTGATGTGCTGTCAGGTGGAAATAGTGACGGAAGGATTTCCAGCAAACGGTGCAGGTGTAAAGCCTCTGTGATGGCGTGCCAGACGTTGGAGACTTTTCTCCTTGAGAGCAGGAGGAGAAGAAGTCAGAGTTCCCTGTGTTGGCGACTTGGCTGATGGCGGCAGCAGCACCTTTTATTCTCCTCCCCTGGTTGTCGATTTCTCCTCTTCTGTGCAGCTTCCCGTGTCTCACGAGGCTCTGAGCGTAGGCGAACATCTTCCCGCAAAGATTGCACTTGTAGTTCTTTTGACCCGAGTGTACAGTCAGATGCTTGGTGAGGTGGAAAGGCTCACGGAACATCTTGCCACAGACGTCACACGCGTGAGGCTTTTCCCCTGTGTGGACACGGTTGTGGCGCCTCAGAGTCTCCGCCCTCCTGAAGCGTTTGCCACATATCTGACATCCGTACGGCCTTTCCGATCCGTCGCCTGGCGGTGCTGGGCTCCTCCTCCTCCTGACGATGGTATTGGGATCCCTTTTCTCTCTGGGCTTTCGCGGCCTCCTGGGCTTTGTGTGCGGCTGGCTGGGGTGGGTCAGCGGCATGGTGGAACCATTCAGGGTGGAGGTGGATGACGGTCCACCTAGGTTACCAAACCCCAACCCCCCCAATAGGCCTCCAATGATATCCCTCCTCTCTCCTTCCCGGCTTTCTGTGTTTATATCGCACGAGGCGGCGGCTGCAGCAGCGATGGCTGACATTGCACTGCTGGTGACCTCATCTTCTGAATCATCCAATAGGGAAGAGAGTGGAAGGTGCGGCTGTTGTTGCTGTTGATGGTGGTGATGTTGCTGACTTTGTGGGTGGGGGTGAAGAGTTGGGGCTAAAGGGGCCTTCCGGAGGGTCTGGTTGGTCATTTCATTGGCTAATGTGCTTTCTGGGGGATACAGAGATGAAGGCTGGGATCGTCTGTAGTCGTCGACACCGCTGCTGTTGTAGGACGACTGGCTCTGGTAGCGATTTCTGGAATAATCTGTTGCATATTTGTCACTGGCCATCGCTGCCCCATCACTTGAAATCCCTACGCTGTCACTTCTACTTTCCATTTTACTGCTGCTAGGGTTGGAAGATGCACTCCCTGCACTGCTGGCCCTGTTTTTTGAACTGCGTGGAGGTTTGCCACAAGCACCTGAAGCGGCATGGTTCAGGAGAGAGGTGCTCTCACGAAAACAACGCCCACATGCCGGGCAGCGGAAAGGTTTCTCGTCGTGGATCTTCTCATGTCTCGTAAGTGACTCTCGACGGTTGAAGGACTTTTGGCAGATGCTGCAGACAAAAGGCCGGTTTTCTGAATGGGTGACACTGTGCTGGATGAGGTGACCTCTCTTTTTAAATCTCTTCCCACACTCGCCGCAACAGAATATCCTCTCCGGGCTGGGAGAGTTACAGTCTGACTTCCTGCTTTGGCTTTCTGGTGTCAACCCATGGCTGCGGAGATGCCTTCGTAGGCTCGAAAGGTGGGTGAAGGTTTTACCACACTCACCACAGTGGTAAAGGGGTTCTGGTTCTGTCTGGCCTGATGAGATGCTGTTATGATTTTCTTGGGATTTTGACAGCTGTTGGTTTCCGTTGGCAACGAGCACAGAGGTGGGATTTGAGGAGGTGGGAACAGATGAGGAGGAGGACACAGTGGAGGATGACTGTTGCTGCTGCGAGGACGGTGAGAGGAGAGAGGAATGCTGCGGTTCACTTCCGATTCCACTTAGCCTGACGCCCCCAGACCCCCCTCCTCCTACGAGGCCCGATGAGGAGCTCTGACTGTGCCCACTCGAGCTGCTGTTGTGGCAGTTGCTAACACTACTGCTGCTGTGACTGTGGCTGCTACTGTCCGTTTTCCTCTGGGGCAGATAACCCGCCATTGCCTTCTTTCTCCTGCTACCCCCACTCGATCCTGACGTAGACGAGCTGTCTACAGACTTTGCTCCATCATCTTTAGAGAGGGACAGGTGCAGGGGCAGCGGGAGGGGGAGGCCAGCCTCTTGCTGCATTAGCGATGCTATCTGGTTAGAGGAGAGGACAGGAATGCCTTGGAAATCAAAACCGCCCAGTGGGGCCGGCTGCGGGGCTGGGTGAAGAGGGTGCGGGTGGTGAGTGTGGCTGTGTGGATGAGATAAGGCGTGTGGGGTGAGTTGCTGCTGTTGCTGCTGAGGCTGTGGAGCTGTGTGGCTGTGGGAGGAGTGGAGTGCAGGAGGGGCAGCCAGTGCTGAGTTTGACTCTGAGGCGCCTTGCCCGAGGCCCAAACCTAGGTGGTTGTGAGTGCCCTGCTGGACGAGGAACTGCTCTAGGCTGCTGCTGGTGGGAACACCAGACAGGAAGTACTGATTAGCAGCAAGCATGCAGCTGAACTGCTGGTGGAGACTGCGAGGATCGGACTGGCCAACTAAGGGGACCGCAGTGCTACCAGAGGGGTTGTTGGAGCCGGAAGCAGAGGTGGAGGGTGAGGGTGAGGAGGAAGAAGGGCCAGAAGAGGGCTGGGGCACAGAGAGACCTGGATGGAGCGGGGGAGGCGGGGGTGCAGGTGTGACAACCCCCCCAATGACTCCTGCGCTTCCTCCACTGCTGCTCCCACCAAAGTCGAAACGTCCCATCCCAGAGTGGAGCTGCTCCTGAGCCAGCGCTGCCTCAGCAGGGTGAAAAGGCCGCAGAAACTGGGGGTACCCCGACGAGGAGCTCCCGCTGCCACTGCTGCTACTGCTGCTCATCTTACTCGACTTCCTGGAGCTGTGAGACGACGTGGACGACTGGCTCTGGTGGGAGATGGATGGAGGAGGAGCACTCATTTTGGCAAACAATGATGAGGAGTCTGCAAAAGCATTGCTCCGTGAGGTTTGGAGGGACCCAAGGCCGAGGCCCGACAAGAGGCTTCCAGATGTGTCACCACAGGGTTGGTGTTGTTGTTGCAGCTGCTGCTGGTGCTGCAGCTGCACTTGCTGTTGGTGGCTCAGTTGTCGTTCTAATCCAAGGCCTTTGAACTGGTGGGCTTGGTGTCCACTTAGCATTTCTAAAATGTCCATGGGGTACTTGCTGAACTGAAACATCTCCCAATGCAGCTGTGACAATGCACTCAGGGGTGGCACAACCCGTTTGCAGCTGCTGGAAACAGCAGTGAGCCCTTATCAAACCTGCGGCGGTCTGATTTTCACAAGTAGTCCTGCTAACGTCCAACAGGCCACGATAATCCACCGAGAGCCTGATTTTCCTTACATGAATGTGTCGCTAAAGAGTGAAGCGTCAAATGCTTCTTTAAAAAAAAAAAAAAGAAAAAAAAATGTCATAAATATACTAAACTATAATAAAAAAGAAAACAGAGTCTGTAGTGTTTCTTTAGAATGTTCCATAGCAGTCCCATAAAGTGGAGTGTGTCCGTTATTTCTGTGCAGGCTGAACCATTGTTTCACTGGCCTTCCATCCAGTCAAGGAGATCTTCGAGGAGCCTGAACAAAAACAATCAAAAAGAATAATGTCAGTAATTCTGTATAAATTAAACAATAACAACATATTGTTTTTCCTGCCCTCAGTGCCTCTCCCTTAGCAATTACAGTGTGGAACTTGATACAGCTAGGACAAACAAATTTTCGCAGGTATCAGTCTCTTGCTTCAGAACTGATTATTTGCACTCATGTTACCCTGATGATAGTTTTTTGGCAGTGAAGAGATGACCTGTTTGTTTCTGTAGCTCTAGTTTTTAGTGTTTTTAGAAAAGCAGACTGATTTTACTGTGTAAAAACCAGGTCACTGGCTTCCTGTTTTATCCACTCAAGAGGATCAAAGCAGCTGTTCTACAATTATTTTTGCACAACTCTGGAAATCTTGGAAAGCGTACTGCATTCAATGTTTATTCAACCAGGTAAACTTTTCTTCAGCTGGTTTTCTAATCTCATCAAGCTCGAACCCAGTGAACCTAAAGCTCCGCAGCTGCTGTAACTTTGAGTTTCTCAGGAGATGATTTCCTTTAAATCCTTGTTGTGGCCAAGCTGTGAAACCAGATTGTAATTTGTTTCTGTTGTAGTGTGAGAAAGCAGTTCCAATCACAGTGTTTAGTTAAAAAAAAAAAAAAAATCATTACTGGCAGGCAGAAAAGCGATAAGCCAAACATGGAAATCCAGAGAAATAAATGTAAGCAGGATAGAAATCATCAATCCTCAATGGTTCCTGTCTGTGTTGCAGATAAACATTACAGTCAAATAATCAGCATTACAACTGAAATCGGAGAGGAAATGAACAAGAAGCCATTTTGATTACTGACCATTCCAATTATTAATCAAGAACTCAAAGCCTTTGTCTGGTTGAAGCAGAGTCTTCTCTATTTGAGCTAAATATAAAAATAAAAATATGGCACATTTGGAGAGATCACGTAGACAAAGAGTCACATCATTCCCTATTCAAACTTTAAGACCTAAACATTTTCACAGAACAAGAGCAAATTACCAGAAGTAAATGTGTTTACATGTTCCAAAATATCACTTGTGGGTCAACAGGAGCTGATTATGAGCATTTTGTTTCAGAAATCAATTCTTATGTGACTTGCTGCTTCAATTCCTGTTGATGTACTTTTAAAAGTTTCTCAGTCTTGCATCTCTTTTCCTGCCTCAGCATTGTTAACTTCTACTTCCTCTCTCTTCTGTTTGTGACAGTGTAAGTATGTGTGTTAAGAGAAAATGTAATACAAAAACCCTTAAAACCGTAATATGAATTAATAATTCTGCCTAGACACAGTAATATTTACTTCAATCAAATATTAGGACATATTCCAGTTATGTGTGTCAGCCTGCAATTTTTTTTAAAATAAAATTTAATACTATAAGAGGAACCGTACCATTTCGCAATTTAGAGACACCAGTAAGGGTGACAAATTCCCTGAATTGTCACCCTTACTGGGACTCACTGGGAATTCAGAGATGGCTCCTGTCCACCTCTTGCTGGATAAAATGACTTCCAACACATACAAATGCACACACACAAAACGCGCATCTCTCTCTCTCTCTCTCTGTATGGAGTGACGTGATAGTGATGTGATACTGTAAACTCTTAAGGAATGCAATACGTCACAACATACACAACATAGTACTGTACAATTCAGACTAGAACTGCTCCATTATAACAAAAATTGCAATCCTAATTATTTTGTGACATTATTTAGTGTGATTTCTGTCTTGTTAAAGCGGATTTCCTCTCACATTAAATACAACTCAAAATGAAAACATATACAAAAAGATATGAAGGTAGTGGAAGACAGTGTTGTCCGATAGGTTATGCTCAGGCTAGTGAGCATTTTTGATTGTGAAATCTGTCTGGCAAGGACGACTGCCAGTCCTTGTAGGCCCAGAGCTGTGGGATGTTTGTGGGTTCAAACAGGGAGTGAAGAGAGGCCCAGGCACCACTGAACTCTAGACATTTGCATGGAAGCCACAGGGATAGAAACAGAGAGCCGAAGTCAATAATCTAACAACATTTCCAGAAGCAGACTGGATTAGAGACCCTTGGAGACAAAGGCATCTGCAAAAAAAGAGTCAAAGATCCTTCCACAGCCTCACCTTCAGAAAGCTTTTACAACTTTCACTTCTTCTAGATGGATTTAGTTTCCATCATATCTTAGTTCACTCTGATCTAAACTGTGAGTGAGTTTGAGGTTTTAGGGTGGGCACTGATGCAAAAAGGGGGATGGGGGCTTGATTTACAACAAGGGAGAAGGAGAGATAGACTGAAAATGAACCAAGCAAGCACTTGTCTGATATTTGAATTTTGCATGTGCAACATGACAGCCTAAAAGAAGCACTTGACTTGAAGTAAATTACAGCAAATAAATCAATAACCTACTGATATGCTTTCCTTTAAAAAGGAGAAAACATATTTTAGCTCCATAAAAACAAAGGAAGAGGACAAAGTGCACTCGCTCATATTCATTTATCTCAAAAAACACAAATGAAAATATTTGAGGCTGTATCGTTTGAAACACCAGTTTTCTTCATTCTTCAACTTAATACTGCCAAAAACATCAGCAAAATGACACTCCTGTCATAATCTAACAATAATGACACCCTCTTTAATTTAACTAATGATGCTTCTCGCGTTCACTGCATGCAACAACCCGCCATCATTTCAACCTCTCCAAAACATCAGCCTAAATAATTCAAGTCGCTACTTCTCCTGTGTCAGCATCGCATTTTCTGTCCGATACTTCGTTTTGTTTTGGGGGGTTTTAAAACTAGGGTCAAATCTGCTTTTATTTCTGACCTTTTTCTAGCTCTGCAGTGAGCGCTCGATGTGAATGAGACTCCCCTGAAACAGAAACCACAGAAGCCAAACGTCTTTATATGCGCTGTCACATCTGTGTACAGTCAGATATAAAACCAGGAAGGATTTTGTATGTTGTCTGTACAGACAAAGCATAATGATCATGCATTCAGTTTAGCTGCATGCAAATTGTGAAATTAAGAAAACAGTCATTAACAGTCTAACAGTCTAAGCCAAAAACAAAAAAGAAAAAAAAAAAAAAAGAAGCACCGACGTAGGTCTGCTCGATTATAGCAAAACTCAAATACCGGGGGGGGGGGTCTCACAGCTAAAGAACACATAACAAAGCCAATTCCAATCCCATGCCAATTCACATAAAGCCTAGAATGCACAACAAATACGATGAAATTCAAAAACATGCTCAATGTATTTATAACAGTGGAAAATATCACACAAAGCATAATTTCCAAATGCTCTGTGTCTCCAGCCAGGCTACAAACAATAATGAGACTTATTAGTAAAATAAATCTAATTTTGGTCCTTAAAATGTTTTTGGTAGCGATCACTCTCCCAAAGGGAGGCTCTTTGTTAAACCCTAATCTTGCCTCCCCACCCAAACAGAAACTGGGCCGATGGTCTTTGGGTTTCTGTGTTCAGCACAATATATGAAGATTACCCAGCTGCAAGCTATGCAAATGATAGCAATGTAAAAAACTACAGCAATTCAACCCTGGGTTGCAGGCAAGAGTATACAGTTGTTTTGGTCTTTACCATCATTTCAGTTAGAGGTGGGAATCACCATACATCCCACGATACGATATTATTGCAATTTTTAAAAAAAATACTTTGCGATATTCAGATTCTGTACATAAAGGTAAACTTTATCAATATTCATTTTATCTAATATCAAAGTCTCACACTCAGTCTCTCATTTCAGTCAGTTTTATTGTTGACAAACTGAACGGTTTGTATTACAGTCTAGTCCAACTTAACTGAATGCAACCATCTGGTACAATTATAGCTATTCTGAACTATGCAATTTATGAAAACTATGCAGCCCATTCAGCAACTGAAGAATTTGAAAGTAAATTAAAACAAAATATAATTTTACATTAAATAAAAAAGTTTAAAACTTAAAATAAAACATGTTTATTGCTGCCAAAAAAAGTTAAACACATTTGGACAGTGAAGGATTCTTGCTCAGAAAAAGGATCAACATGCTCTGAAGTCAGAGTTCCAGTCCACAAAAACTTTTTTTGTAACAAAATATCGATTTCTGCTGTCCCTGTATCGATACATTATTAGCAAACAAAATATCACGATACTACACAGTATCGATTTTTTCCCCCCACCCCTAATTTCAGTGATATATCATTGCAGGAGCTCAGATTCAGAGCTGCAACAATTTGAAAAGATGAGAGTATCCAGTTAAAATTAAATACATAAATAAAATAGCAAATCCAGCAAGCGTTGCTTGTCAGTATAAATTGTGATAAAACTGTTGTAACAACAGTTGGTGTGCAGCACAACCAATGCAGTGTCCATAATCCAGGCATAAGTGTGTGCCATTTCTTTTTGAAGACTGTAATTGGGCGGCTAAAAGTGTCGGCATGCATTTCAGCCACTTGTACGCTCAATTTGATTTTTACTGTCACCCCACTCAGTATCCAGCCAGAGGCAAGGGTCGGAGTTGAGAATGTTCCTGGTAACTAATTTACTAGTCATATAAATGACAGAAACAAGGGACAGATGTCTAAGTGAGCTGCAACCACAATGGTGTCGTAAATAAAATAATACGTTTAACCAACTAGTATTTTGGACACCAACTAGCAACAGCAGCAATGTTTAAATGTCACACTGACCATTAACAAAACAAAATCCTGTTTTATCCATTTATGGAAAATAACAGGCACTTGGGGCAGGGATAGCTCAGTAGGTAGAGTGGTGGCCCCATGATCGGAAGGTCGAGGGTTCGAATCCACTGAACGGCTACCCTGAGGTACCGTCCCTACACACTGCTCCCCAAAATAAATAGGAAAAGCTAGTTTACTTACTTTAAATAAAGATTTCTAAATCCACATTAGCTTATAGTGTTCATTAGTCAATTTATATTTTGTTCAAAATAAAAACCAACCTCTGGTTAATAGGAGCAGAGAATATACCATTTTCTTTCACATTTTAACTATGCACACAGGTGGTTTGATGAAGGCCTTTTACATTCATAAGGACAAATTCTTACTGAATGTAAGAACTTGAGCAACATGCTTTAGTGGCTCCACTCAATCAGTTATGTTACACTAAAATATTTAAAAAACTGCCTGTATCTGGGGTGAATACTATGAAGCAAGCTCAACGTAGTCAGGATTTCTCTGTTATTTGGTTCAACAACAGCTAAAACCCAGGTCAGAGATAACAGGTATCCCACTGGTGGTTATCAGATTTGTATGTCAACACAGGCTTTCCAGGCTCTGTGCACTTGTGGTGGACGCTCATTTCACTCTTATTCTGCACAAAACTCAGAGGAACATACAATAGAGAGCTATAAACAATGTAAAGCATAAAATGCCATAATGGTGCTGCAAAAATAAAAATAAAAAATGCAACAGCAACCACAACACCAGAAAATCTTAAAATTTGTGAACTGGTAAAGTTAAATATTTATCTCCAGAAAAGTAAAACAGATTTGGTGGAACATTAGGATTAAAAAAAAAAAAAAAAAATCATATTTACATGTTTTCTGCTTCACTGGGTCAATACATGCAAATTCCCGTGACAATGCAAAGTAGACTGCACTGCTTCGTCTATCATCAGGTGGCATTACTAAGGAAGAGCTCAACTGAGTGCATTTATTACCAATAATGTCTGCTGAAGGAAAGCATTTAGAAAATGTCTTCTGGAAAATATCATCACAAACATCTCACAGCAGGAGCTGTCATTAAAAGGTTAATTTTGTCATCCAGCAGCCCCAAAACCACAATACTTATAATGCGGTAAGAAACAGCAGTAATAGCAGCAATTTAAGCCATTTCTAATGTTTAAAATTTAATGGTTTTGTTTTGTTTGTTTTTTTACTTCTTAAGTTTTGTCTCCCTTTATACCCAATTAAACAAAAATTCAAGCAAATAGATTAACATTAGATATTGAACAAAAATATGCATCCAAAGTACACTTCTGTTAGGAGGTAAAAGGAAAGATGGTGGATAGAAAAAAAGAAGCATTAAAAAAAAAAAAAAAAATCCAGGTCCAGTTATTCATAATGGATATAAACAAGTAATAAAAAGCATTATTACAGTGGGTGTTTCTTTTCACGAGCATCAGTTGTTTAAAGGACACTAGGAGCTGCTACTGCCTTATTTATATTTATATATATATATATATATATATATATATATAAAAAAGGGCTGCCACAAACGATTATTTTGATAGTCGACTAGTCACCGATTATTTTTGTGATTAGTCGACTAATCAGATCATCATCCATTGGAGGTACAGCGTACAGCTTATTGCACCAGCAGCATCTGGTCTTATACAACCATCATTAGCTTACAGCTTGAAGTGTTTGTGCTAACTAAAAATAAAGACAAGATGGTAGTTTATTAATTTTTAATGAAATTTGCAGATTGTTTCGGTGAAGTTTAACTCCTTGCTTTCTAAAATATAACAGGACACCGGAGTATATTCTCCAGCTTCTGATAATCAGCTGTCTGCTTGACAGTTTTAGCTGTGCAAAAACTATAACTTTAATCTCAGCCAAACCGATTTACTCAGGAACAAATAAAATACTAAAGAAAGCCAAACAATAACATTTTTAAGTTATCTAAGTGACATATATATATATATATATGTATACATATATATATATATACATATATATATATATTTAACCTGACTAGCGAAAGATGGCGGTGGGTTTGAAAACGATTTGCCGGGAGTCCGGTGTTCTCACGGCTCTAGTTAGCCTTGCCCCCGCCTAGCTAACGAGCTAGTGGGTAACAGACGTCTCCGAAAACGTCGGAGCGCTTTTGAAAATACGTGGTGTCTTGATAAACTGAGCAGATATTTGAGGTTTACACAGCTACATTCTCGCCTGAAAATATGTTAAAGGTTTATTTTGTGACCCAGAAAGAATAATAAGAGTAAAGTTAAAACTAACTAGCTGCCGCCATTGTTGACAGCTGCGCTATGAATTCTGGGACACAGCTTCTTCTTCTTCGGGGTTTAATGGCAGCTGGCATCCTTGTACATGCAGTGCTGCCATCTTCTGTTTCAGTCCGTTATTACACTCTTAAATCCTACTACTCATTCCTGTGTCCTTTGTGATCTTACAAAGCTTCAAACGATGCGTCGACTATTAAATTAGTCGTCGACGATTTTAATAGTCGACATAATCGTGACTAGTCGACTAATCGTGGCAGCCCTGATATATATATATATAGATATCTCTCTCTCTCTCTCTCTCTCTCTATATATATATATATATATATATATATATATATATATATATATATATATATTTTTTTTTTTTTTTTTTATTTTTTTTAACTTTTTCATTATGGAGAAATTTGCAACGTTAAGTACCAGGGAGGCTAGCATCCTAATATTTTTATGAAACCTATTTTATTAAATGTCATGGCAGCAAACACTTTGTTTTTAAGATTTAAATCCAGTTATAAGAAATAAATCGCTGCAGAAACGCGTAATTATTCTAAGTTGCAAACCGAGCACCAGAATTTGCACCAAAAAAAGCATGCAAAGATTATTCAGATTTTTTGCAGAGTTTAAATTACTTTGATCTCCTTTAACGTATCAATTTTTAATGTAGCTGACACAAGAATAAGACTATAGAGCCTTAATTGAGAGCGGGGTGACTGCATGCTGCTTGCAGCTTACCGGCTGATCCACAGGTCTGTATCTGGAGCACCCTGCTGGCTGGACCACGGCGCTGAATGAGGGGGGAGGACAGTCCGGGGAAAACCGGTGACTTCAGGTCCACAATCTGGAATAGATGAACCGATGACCGAGTGGGTCAGACTGATGGAAATAATCGTTTCCAGCCACTCGCCAGACTCTGCTAGCATCCGTCAATCCCTCAGCTAGCTAACTAGTGATCCTGCTCTAATCGTTAAAAAACAACAACATTGTCTCGCTGTTTTACTCGCATTTTAACATATACATAGTTAAATTAATTTTTTAATTACGATAGTTTTAATTATTAAAAAACACTACTTAAAGTAGGTTAAGGTGATGCTAAATGAGGTCCCCTGGTTGTCTAGCCAACAACTAGCAATGCTAAAGCTTAGCTCGGACCGTTAGCTCGGCAGCTAGCTCGTTAGGCGACACAGTCCTGCTGAGAACGGCTTTTGTTTTTGTTTTTACCTCGTAGCATGCGACGTCTGGGTGCGAAAAAACCGACTCAGAACCAAGGAAGTAAAAATGTGAACACACGAAGGTGGCTGTGCACCGCGAGAACGGGGTCCCTAAAGCCTGTCAGCGGGGCCTTTTTCTTCATCCAGGGAAAAGCGGAGTGAGAGGCCTGGCTCTCCATCGGCCCGGGAGGGCTGCTTTTCTCTCGCTAACAAAAACTGTTTCCGCTGGCCTGCCCCGATAAGTCCATTGTCTGTGTGACAGTAGAGTCATGCAGCTGGAGTGGCTCACTGCTCCTCTTCCCTCACACGGAGCCTTTGTTTTGTTCCCGTCGTGTTATTCCCTCTTTTCTCCCCGGCTGGTTGCTCTCCGCCCCGTGTCAGCTTTAGGTGTCCCCCCCCTCTGTAGACGACGGCTCCTCGGATGCTCCTGGCCTTAAAATGGTTGTTTCCTGTCTGCATAATGGTTCCGGGTAGAGCCAGGCGCAGGTTTTAGTCTGTCCGGCCGCGACCACATCCAGCACACCACCGCCACCACGCTCACATCCACCTCTTGCCCAAAATCCGTATCCTATCCAGCATGATGCTCAAGAATAAATAAAGCGCGCGCGTGTGTATGTGAGCGCGAGAGCGTTCGTGTACGTGCGCGTGCATGCATACGCTTTACACTCCATTAAAAAAACTGCCTTCAAACACCGTAAGCCATCAAGTCCCTTGCGTGTCACTGTGTGTGTGAATGTGTGTGTTTTCACACCAAGTGTGTGAAATGTTAATTAGTCAATTAAAGATATCATTAGGGTGCATGCTGCATAACATTACAACATGTGTGTGTGTGCGCGCGTCATGGAAGTGCTGCTGTGTGCCTGGTGCCTCATTTGCATTCAATTAAAGTTATTATTATAGTGTATTATTCTTGCCTATTGCCTGTGTGGGTGTGTTTGACTGTGTGTTTACTCTGCTGCGCTGCTCGTGTTGTGGGCATATGGATTTGTTTGCACACTCACATTGTGGGCAAGGGTGTAGGTTTGATTTAGAAAGCAGCTGAAGGAAGTCAAACGCTACTCGCCTTATTAAATATTCAGAAAACTTTCCTGAGGTTTCTTGCGAATCTGCATCTGTAAAAGGGGCGTGATTATCAACATTTTGTTTTTGTCACCTGGTTGCTATTGTATTTGTTTGTTTATGGTGAAACCGTGTTGTAAAAGTGTTTTTGGCATGAAAAAAAGAAGGCGTAGCAAGTTAAAGCTTCAGCTTACATCTTTTCAGTCAGTAATCCGCCCCCCCCGTTTAATTCAGTTCTTGGTGTGTGATTACATCAGGAATCGGCTCTGAGACACTTTTTTTTGGACTGGCGATGGACAGGTCTGGTCAGATGAGGTCAGACAGCAGTCTTCATGGACTATGATGTTCATAGATTATGATTACAACCAATTTACACAATGTGGCAACACTGTAAAGAAGAATGGGTAATATTCCTCCAAAACGATGTGACAGACTCATAAATCCAAGCAAAAAAAATTATTGCTGCTGAAGGTGGTTCTACAAGCTCTTGAATTGTGGGGTGAGCATAGTTTTTCACACAGCTGCAGAGAGTCCTGTGAAAACGTTCTAACTCACATGACTATATTTATGAAGTACATTTTTATATTTTAGTCTGTTTCCAGATTAATTCCTTATTTATAAATAAAGGCATTATTGCATAGTTGTAATATTCATATTAATACTTAAAGAAATGCTTTATTACCTTTTCTGTGACCCTTGTGGTCCTCTACAGAAAGGATCTCTAAACGCCAGTCACTATTGAATAGATTCACAAGTCAGCAGTTTTATATGGTAGTGCCCATTTACACCATATTTTTCATCACTTTTGCACAATAGGAAGGGGTTAATGCTTTGTACAACTGTATATAAATACATATACTGTTATTCATGGGTCAGTCATTTCAAACTTAGACTGTGCATCCAAACTTTGTTTAAATTCTGTCAGTGTAAACACTGCATACATGTTTAAAAGTGCAGTACATTGTGGCCTCTAGATGCACGGTTGGAAACCACAGTCAAATAAATACCCATCATAAAATCCCCCTTTGCATGTGAATAGGAGAACCAGTGTTAGTGGGTGAAACTGCTGAAGGCAGTCCATAGATTCAGTGTTTGCTTTACTTTAGACACAAAGGACACTGTATGGAAAAGGTTTTGTAAGTGTGCTGGTATATTAGCGTTCATTGTAACTTTATTAAAACTTAATAAAATAAACACATAATTGTGAATATTTTATTTATACTTGTAGAGCCTCTTGAATTCTACGCAGTAGACCTTTAATGAAGACTGGATGAGATCATTTAAGGTTTTAATATTCCATATAAAAGAGAAAATGTACTGTGTCCAAACTATTATATAGAACTTGTTTGGCTCTTTTTTTTTTCTTAATTTCACACTGTGAGTTATATTCAGAATGTTAAAATGTGGCTTTAATAGAGAGCCCCTCAATGTAGGTTGAAAGAAGACATGCCATAGAAACAAGGGTGTAGGTTTGATTTAGGTAGAAGAGAAGATATGCAATAGCCTGTGTCAGCTATATATCAGTTATAGATGGCCCTTGAAAAATGTAACCAAAATGTACTTTCTGAAGTTTTCCTTAACAATTTAAATGTATGTAGATAGTTGATGTAAAATCGATCTGTAACTTTTAGCAGAGTTCAAATGCATTTTTGTGGAGTTTTTTTCTTAACCCTGAACATCTCATGTCGATGTCTCCATACTTAGGAATTTATGAAGGGTCAATAATTCTGGAAAAAAAGGGGAAATTTTCATTCCAACTTCATTTATTCAGAGGGCCTGTGACTCTGGGAGAAAAAAAAGGGGGAAAAAGTGAAATCTACTAAAAAAAAAAATTGTAAAAAGCAGAGGGAGTCAGGATCAACATTAAATATATTAATAAAAAGTTCTAAACATAAAAATGTGACCTAAATATTAAAAAAGTAATATTTAATCACACCACACAGAAAAACAAAGTTTAGTGGTATTTAATTTTATTGTTATTATCAATTAAACAGTATGATTTCTACAAACGCAAGAATCGATCACCAATAACAAAAGGGTTGCACATCTGTGAGACCTTTGTCTGGATATTCTTGGAAATAGACATGTAAGGGGATGTAATAAATAAATGTATTATACAATTTGAGGTATGCAGAATAGCTTCGAGAATACAAATATGCCCAAGCCTGCCAACACCCCCCCAGTGGTTAAAACGCACACACACACACACACACACACACACACACACACACACACACACACACACACACAGGCACACACACACACACAGGCACACAGTTTGATCAGAGGACCAATTAACTGAACATGGATTATAACATCTGCATCAGACTTTTGAAGGTATGAGGAAAAATGAGCGAGACATTAAAAATATAACTGAATTCCCACGTCATTTACATCCACCCTCCCTTCTTATTTTTATGCCTCGTGCTCTTTTATGGTTCTAAAATCAGCCAAATCAGGTCACTTTACATTCTGCTCCACATCGGCAACAACTGCTCTCCACAGAAAAACAACCTTTAAATGCAATTAACGTTCTCCTCTTTCGGCCGTATTGCAACCTAAAAAAAGCTGCTTTTTATACCTTCTGTGCCTTTAAAATTTTCTCAGATGAAAACATTTCTTTTAAAAGACAAACAGCTTTTGTGGACATATATTAAAGGTACTTTTTGTAATTACCCTTGGGAGAATTTGATTGAGGTTTTCAGTCAGGTCAGATACTGAAAATGTTCATCTAGTGGGCGACGTCACGGTGGTTACGTCTGATAATTTTGGACCTATTTGTTGATCAAGACAAGGCAGTCGAACTGTTGGTTGGTCATAAATAAAAATGTGCTGTTTTTGACAAATAAAGGTAAGACTATTTGCACCCCATTCCAGCTTCACTTGATGCACCCAAACAGTGCATGTTTTATATATAAAGTCACAGTGGTTGTTTCTTCACATTTCTTTTTCATAGTTTTGTTTATTTTGGAACATTTTAAAGAATTTTTAAACATCAAAGTTTACAAAAAGTACCTTTAAACTCAAATTTCAGTGACACAAACTTAAACACCAATAAATTAAAGCACTCAGCTTCTATTAAAACACCAAAACCTGACACAATATAAGCCTTCAGTAAGTTACATTTTCAAATGTCTGAAAAGTCCTCACTTTGATGAACATAGCTCGACAAGAAAAGCTAACTGAATGATGTCCCTTTAAAAAAATGAATTTTTAAAAGAACGACAGGCTTTCAAAATGTCATTACAGCTTGATATGAACACGCAGTGACTCGAGTGCTGAAGACGTACTCCGAGTTTGGTCCAAACAAAAAGAAGAAAAATAAATAATAATGAGGTTCAGCATTCCTAAGAAGAATAAGAAGACACAGAAAGTTACACGCACGGGCACACAAACTAAAACAGACGCATGTACATGTACGCACATACACGCCGTGACATCATAAGTCAGCACTATGACATCACCAACACTGGCTTCTGACACCGTCATGCGTTTCTTCTTTTCTCTATGATTGCATCAGCTCTTTTTTGTTCTTGTGTATACAAAGGGTTTTTCTTCTTCTATTCTTTTTTTTTTAATTCCACTAGAAAGTTTTTAATACTGAAAATCCAGGATTATACATTAAAACTCACAGAGATTAAAAAAATAAATACATGTTTAAGTAGAAGAGAAAGAAAGAGAGCTCATGATGATAGCGTTCATAGTGTCATTGAGGGGGAACTTCTACATAAACCATTAACACGTGAGCACATGTATTAAAACACTAAAACTGGCTGGCAGGAAGCTTCACGCAGTAATCAATCATGTCTGTCTTTATCGAAATACAACCCGAGAGTGGAACCTTAAACAAGGCCTCTCTTGAAACCCCAGAAAGGGTATATCCAGCCAGCGTGGCCAGAAGGTCCATCTCACAGCCAGAAAACCAAAAAAATGTACAAAATATGACATCATTATGGTCAACGCTTCTCCCGCAGCTTTTTAAAATGGTTATGTGTCTTTACATGGTACACAAAAGTTCTTTTGCTTTGCACAATTTCCTTGCATTTAAATTTTTTTTCTCTCTAAGCAAGAAGAATAAAAATAAAAATATCTGTGAAAAATATGCACGAGCATGCCTCCCGACTCACAGGAAAAAATGAAAATGAGAAGCAGAGACTGTACAGAGCATAGACACACAAAGATAATTCATTTTAGCCCTTGGTGTGAAGTGTCCATTGTCCCCCCCCCACCGCCTAAAACCCATTTGCCACCCTTCCCCTTCGTACGAGGTGAGCAGCTGAACTTGCAGGAAAACGTGTGGTGCTGTAGACGTACAGGAGGGTTGGTTTAATACCAATCGGCGGCAGAAACAAAGCCCTCGACCCCTCTACAAGCTTGCCATGAAAAGTTTTGAACAGTTCAGGGTTTCCGCCAGAGAAGTTGTCGACCCCAGCCACCATTTAACATTGCTGATGTTGCACCTATAGCAGAAACATTTTGGCCATTTTGTTGAGCGATAACAAAACAACCCTGTTTCTGGGTCCAAATGTAAAATTAATGGTGTTAAAATGGGATTTTTGGTTTTTGAAAATGATTGCAGCTCCATCTGAAATCTTAATAACTGCCATCCAAAATCACTTTACCAAAAATCAGAAACTATTAAAATTTTTTCCTCCAAAGCTAGCTATCCTAGCCATGAGCTAACGGTGTCTCAGACACAAAATATTTAGCGTGCCGACTAAGATTTCAGTGTAAGCAGTCAACTTAGGCTCAGGACTTTTTACATTTTTCATAACCTTGTGTCATGGATGAGGCTCAGATGTTATCTTAGGTGAAGTGCGTTCCATTTTTATTACCTTCTTCCGGTCAATGAAATCATAGGAAACAAAAGATGGACTTGGCTTCTTGGTCTGATTCAATGAAGACATCGGTCTCAGCGAGAAACCTCAACTTGGACTTTATATTAGTTTGTTTTAGACTAAACATAGCTCTATATGGCAAATGGCACCAGTTATATGTCAACTAGCTTAGCTTCACTTGACAAGATCAACTAACCTAATTCTAACTCCAGCTTAGTAAACCTTCTTTTCCATGATTGCTGGAATGTTAAACTTTACTGGGAGAACGAGCGCACAGATCCTTTTATTCAAGCTTGGAATTTGGAATTTTTTAACTCTCAAAGTTTCCTCAATGACTCTTTTCTTTTGGGACCCAGAAATGCCCAATGATGTCAGACTTAATATGCAGTTAGCTCTCACTTTATATCTCTGGATACAAATTGAGTGTTTTTTCCCACTTTACTGTGCTATACCACCCACAGAGCCCACAATATGGTTATAGTTGTTCACTTATGGCTAGGAATCATGTAGCTTACTGTCATTTGTAAATAGTAGATGTCCACCAAAGCTAATGCTTTAAGTTTAACATTGTTTTCTATTTTCTTTTTTAAATTATTGTACTATTAGCTGATCTGAAAAATGGGTAACAATAAAAACAGGATAATAAGATACATTAGCTAACGTTACAAATGTAGCTTTTGTTTATAAAAGTGTGGGAGGTGGTCAATTAAAAAGCTGCTAAGTCTATGGTAGACTGGCGGAAACCCTACAGTTGCTGAAGAATGTTTGGTCAGTCAGTCAATGTATGAGATTGGCTCAGTTCAAAACTTTCTTAGCCTACGAATTACACAATGTTTCATAGATGATATACACCCACTAGATTTCACTGTACAAGAGCATAGTCAGCTAAAATCATACTGCAAAGTGGACTTCACTTGTAAAGCCCGGTCACACCAGAAACACAGGCGAACATCTGGATTCAAAATGTTTTAGAAGTAGCAACTTGAGACATTCACAATAGCTCCTCAACCTTCTTTATTTTTATCCTTCCCTTTATCATTAACTGGCACTTAGTTCTTGGGAGTTTTCGTGAAATGCTGGTGTGACTGGGCCTTTATGGCAGCGCTTTGACTTGCTTTTCGTCTCTAAACGGCTCATTTTATTTATTTATCTTTAGCTTGAGTGAATCGAGCTATAAAGAAATCAAATGAGAGTTAACTGCTGCATTATTTCAGCAGTTTTACTTTGATAGTCCAATCACGACTAGAGAAAGAAATGACAGACTGATCATATGACCAGTCTTTACATTACAAAGTGGCTGGCTAAAGGATAAATATGTTTTCAACTAAGTATACACAAAATCCTACAGGGCTCAGTTATGCTAATATTATTATTATTAGTAGTAGTAGTAATAGTATCAGGTTAATTTCATACAAAAGCAACTTGTTTGGTTTTAAATACTTGTATAAATACACTGACAAGCAAACCCGTCTGCCTCTGCCTCGGCGCTCTGACATCCACAGTGGATTCAAAGATGGATGAATTTCTGTCGGAGCACTCGAGGACTCAGAGGACAGCGCAACAAAACTCAAGGACAATTCAACAAATTTGACTCAGTGGATATCCTTCAATAAAAGTCACAGCGAATACCCAGCAGCCTTTAACTGCTTTTTTCTTTTCTTTTTTTTTTTTGCTCTTTACTTGGGCATTTGTCTTCTCTTCACAAAGAATAGGTGAAATTTCTCTTTTCCAATACACAAGTGACAAAGAGAGAATCAATTGGCTTTACTCACTAATGTTGCCATCCACCACTTTTTATTTTATGAAGGGGGCTGTGTGCAGCTGAGAGCAGCCCTGTGAGGGAGCCAGCTGATATCAAACCACTTGCTTGTTTCTTTGCCATTTCCTGCTCATATCTTCACACTAAAAACCTCGCTGCTTCCCTCTCTTCATCTGGTCTTCAGCTTCTTTTCATCTGCACCTCTTCTCCACCACTCTTCCTCTCACACTGTCACCTCATTCTTACTCCCAGTCCGGAGTCCCTGGCCTCCACCTCCTCCGGGGATGAAGTGCAGCTGTTCAATCGTGTTCTGCCTCTTGCTGGCGAAAGCCATACGTCGGGCGTTGGGGTGGCCTCCACCTGTCCCGCCGTGGGAGTCCCAGCCACCGTGCATGCCCATGCCGGACATGGTCGTGGTGCTGCGGTCGTGCTCGTGGCCTGATGTGGGGTGGGAGTTCATCTTGATCATGTGGTGGCGGTCCATGGATGGCGTGACACAAATGTTCTGCTGTGACTGAGCCTTCTGGTGGTGGCTGAGCCGGCCCATGGTGGGAACCATCCCGGTTCCTCCCCCTCGCTCACTCGTTCCCGGCAGCAGACCCATCGTCATCAGCCGGTCCTCCAGACGGTCAGGGGAGACCAGGAGCCGCTCATGGGACCTGGAAACACAGACTTCTTGTCAGTGTCATAAAAGTATTACAATATTTGAATATTAATTTTACTGGAAGCTTTATGATTTGAAAATGGTATAGAGTACTTTCCTGGGTATTGGAATTGAATTCAAAGTTCTAGTATCACAACAACTCTAAGGGGGACCATCTTAAATTGTGGAAATTTGAAGTATAATGCACTTTTTCAGCTCCATGTTTTTATTTATTAGAGTAGCTTTGCATGATGATAATGGTTAGTCTATGGGTATTCATGGAAATGGCAGAAAGGCACAGCTGGAATTCATTTTATTTAAGAGTACCGACAACGAGACAGCCTGTTAGGAAAAGCACTAAAATCAAAGCTGTGTTTTGAAGGATGGATGAGCTACACTGTGTCAAGCTCAAACTTTAAAGATTACTTTTAGGACGTATACGATTTTAACTAGTTAAATAAGGTATAATATGGGACCTCTAATATATCCCAAACAGAATTTTTGTTACCTAAATTTAATAGCGTGAACCCTCACTTTGCCAGACTCTTTAAACTTTGATGAAACTGTCCCACTCTTGATACTGATTAAATATTACACCCTGATTCCCTTTGTTCTTGTGTTTTCTTAATGGGATTTGACTCATCTCACCTCCATCTTCTCATGTCATCTCATATCTCTATGATCCCTTCTTTTCTCTTGTCTTCCTCTTCTCTGATCTGACTCCTTTGTCTTTAGTATTTCATCTGCTGCTTCTCTTTGTCCTATCTGATCACACCTCACCTCTTATCCCCGATCTCACCTGCGGAGCGTCTGTGATGTAGAGCTCCTGCTGGTGCTCATCATGGCTTTGTAGTACTGGTGTTGCTGGTTCTTGGACAGGCGGGACAGAGTGTTGCCTTCCCCAAATGCCAGCAGCTGGTCCTGGGAACGGACACGGCGTGGTGGCCTATCGAAGCTGGAGCTGGTGTAATGTGTCTGGGAGGGGAGCGGGTATGGGTTGGGGGTGGAGGGCGGCATGTGGAGGTGGGGCCGAGAGCCATGGAGTGGTAGCGTGCCTCTGGATCCCAGCGTGTAGTCCCCTCCAAAGGGCAGGTGGTGCTGAGAGGAGTAGAAGGAGGGCGGAGCGTTGTTGGAGCGGCGCTTGGAGTTGTAGTAGCTGGAATACTCATCAAGTTCTTTCTCTGATTCACAAAAACACAAAGAGAAATGTGTAATATGTAAAAAGCTATTTTGTATGTTGATGATTAACACAGAATGATAATTATTGATGATTATATACAGCTGATTGTTTGGTTTGATAGGAAAGGTGTAATCACTGTAGTCATTCTCAGGTAAGTCTCTGGAATTAACATAAAGATACATTGTTACAAATTTAAAGTTTGATTACTGAACAAAACTTTCACAGAATCAGAAGTTGTTGCCTTTATGGGACTGGAGATAACATGGACAACACATTACTCCACAAGCTTGCTGTGAAAAAAGAGGGGGACCACAATTTGCTCATGTTGTATTAATCAAGGTAGAGGCCATGAACTCATCAGGAAAGGGTCTCTCTTTTATACAACACCCCCTGCAAGTCTTAAGAAAAAATACAGGTTTAGGTTTGAAATGCCTTCATGTATAATCTAAGCTTGCTGGCTACATTTGCAGTATCATGCATCTTTTACTACTGTACACATATATGAGGTATCCCATTAGTTTTGCATCCAGGGTCCATTGTCATCACTCACTGTAAAAACTCAACCGGCCGAGAAAACAGAAAGTATAAGGGAAAACTAAAGGAATCCACCCAGCTTTTAGAAATGATGAAGCCTTTCAGATGAGAGGTGAAACCTCTTCAAAAAGCCTTTGACTGAACACTTAAGATTACTATGACCTGGATGACTGAGACAAAGGACAAAGCACAAATATGCTAGGAGGAAGTGATAATTAAATATGTCACTGGAGGTGGATGCTGGTGTGGTGGAGGTGTTGAAAGAGCATGCAGGGCAGCACCGACTCCATCAGGTCTGAAAGAGAGATGGGAAATGTGGCAGCTTAAACTGAGAGGCTGTGTTTGATATATGACGTGCGAGTGAGCCGTATGTATGTGCGGCTCAATCTCAATCTATGTGCAGTTCAAAACCCCATTTGTATTGAATCCGCTTCAAAAGTTTAGTGATGTCCGGAAAAATGTATATAGCATCAAATCAAAACAGTCTACTCCTGACGCTTTATATTGTCAGGTAAATAGGCTACAAAAATAGAGAGAAACCCCCAACAATCAGATGGCATGCTATGAAAAAGCACTGGGTGACAGTGGGAAGGAAAAACTCTTAACAGGAAGAAACCTATGGCAGAAGCAGGCTCAGAGAGGGGAAGATACAAGATTCAAGTACAGATTTCACACCGTTATGGTGTCCCTAATGACTCAGTTCAAACATCGTGCTAATTCCAATACAATATTTTTAAGCCTTTGTTTAAAAAGGTTAAAAAACTGCATTTACATTCATGTTTACTACAGCAATGACATTTAAATTGTTAATGAGGGCATCCGTCAGTAGAACAGCTACCTAATGGCCTCTTTGCCATCTATTTTCCCATAGATCTTTGAATGCCTCCTTAAATAATGTCTCTGTTTTAATGTCCGACTGTGCACATGTGACAATGGTGCAAGTAACTGTCCTGTGAATTCACAAGTGTGCAAGTGGGCGTCATGTGTCATGACTCCTACATGCTCCATCCTCATGAAAACAGTATTTCTAGTCACGAGAGGCAGCAAACGATCCCCTGCTGTCTGCTACATGTGAGAAAGGACAACTGCAGATCCCAAAAATGTGGCTCGGTGGTACTGTTAGTTACTCATGTGTGAATATGGCTTCAGTTAAAATAAGGAAGACAAGAGATTTAGAGAAAACACATCTTGAGAGGTCCATTTAGTAGCTGGAGAGCAGCAGTAATAAAATATTATGATCTTCATCAACATCAAGAGATGTTGAAATTAAAATCGTTTACTAAAAATTTTAATGCTTCTTGTCCGTGCAGGAAAAAAGTATCAAAGACCTGCTCATGAAGATCATGCAAAGAGCTCAAATTCACTGACATAATAAAGCTATAAAGCTACTAAATAGTCTTGTGAGACTGTGAGAATCAGATAAAGAGTGGAGCAATAAAAAGGGAGAAGCAGGTGAAAATGAAAGAAAATATAATATCAGAAAGGGCGAACAAATTAGAGCAAGAAATGTCTTGTGTAGCAAGAAACTGACCTTAAATGTCTTGAAAGAGAAGAAAGAAGAATCCAAGAGAGAAAGGAGGAAATGAAAAAGTGAGAAAGACATTTTGTCACAGGAGGACAAAGACAGAAGGCACAAATGGATAATGCAAAAGGAGAGATACGCTGTATATTGCATGAGGCATAAAAGAATAAAGGTAGAAGACAAGCTCAAGGCCAAAGACAGAGAGGACGTGAGGTGAAAATAGGCTTTAAAGGCGGCGAAAGAAGATGTTTCACAGCATAAATGATGTGAAAACAAAGAAGTCGAGGGACAACGTAAAGACAGAAGAAAGAAATGACGGAGAGGGAAGCAGTTAGTCAGTTTCACTAACAGTGAGAAGCAGTGCTTCTGTGCGTAGCCCGAGCCCACTTTAATCTTCAAAGCATTTCCATGGAAGCAGCTCCCCAAGAGCCAATTTAAAGCTGACCTTTAACCAGCCACCTCTCTCTACCTCTGCATTCCCTCTTTCCTTTTCTTTGCTCTCCCTCTCAGGTCTCTTCCCCTCCTTCTGTTTGCCTCTTTGTCTTCACTATTCTCCACACTTTTCTTTTTTTCAGTCTAGTTGTTGTTGCTTTTTCACCTTCTCCTCGCTGTTCAGGCTTTTCTCTCTGCTTCTCTTTCCTCTCTCTGTCCTCAACCTCTCCCTCCTCTCAGTCTTTCTCCTCACTCTCCCTCACGCTCTCTGTTTACTCCCCTCCAATAAGGCTAAATTATCTCAAGGTTTCTCCCTGGCTGCCCTCCTTAGACAAAGAAGCCTTTATCAGTGTCCTTTCTGCAGCGCCGTCTGGGGAACGGCATCAAAAGGATCACGTTTCAGAGAAAGGCTGACGGGAGGCCATATTCCCTCTTTATGTGTCACAATGACAACTTTTTATTCTCCATTTGAAGGAGTGTTTCACCAAAACTGACATTCAGGGTGGTTTTCTTTAAAAAAGCAGGAATCTAATAATCAGACAAGTAGAAGTGAATGAATGATTCAGCCTGGATCTGCTTAACAAAGGGTTTTACATTCCTCTGTGAAAGCGATCAGTGTCTGGGAAATAAAATCATCCAGCACAGACAAAGTGACTGCTTCATGTTTAAAGTGCTCGCTGCCATCACTGCAAGTCTGGTGTAGTCAGATCCTACAGTCCTTAGTAGATTCAGTAGTATAATGTCAAACGTGAGCTACAGCTTAAGGCAAGTTATCTTTGGGATGTCTGAAACTTAAGAGCAACATTGACTGAAGTTAAACGTAGCCACAATGACTGGCTGCGACATCGTGATGTAAAGCTTCTAGCTGAGCATTTTGAAATCAAACCTGGTAAAAGACAACGGACCAAAAGAAACACTGCACGCTCATATGACTTGAAATTTGAAAGGTAGAGTGTTTCCGGTTTTTCCTGTACATTTCTCATTGCACTTCCTTTCAAAGCCAGAGGAGTCGCCCCCTGCTGGCCATTAGAAAAAAAGCAGATTTTGGGCACTTCAGCATTTGGGGTGAAGTTAGTCTAAAAAAATAGCTCCTACCTCCTTTTCTTCTTTCTTGTCATTAGTGGAAAACATCAGGTGAAGAAAAGGTAAATGTGATTTTAGAAGGACCTGAACCTCAGAGTACTAAATCAGCATATTACCCCACTTTTTCCAGCTGATTGAAGTGAAAGTTCATTCACGATAATCCTGAATGGAGAACAGACATTACCAATGCAGCCTGGACCTTAAATGCACTTTGATTAATTAACATAACTCATACTCTGGATTTAGAGAGTTTATATAAATCCACTTTCTTCACATGAGGCGTAAATAAAGAGGTTACTACAGAAGTTTTGAGTTCAGCTCTGGCATGAACTGGAAAACTATAAGTAACATTTCTACAATCTGCATCAGTTTATGTGTCAGATGGTGTGTTGGTATAAACGTTGGGATGGAAATAGCTCGAGTCCTTTCATAAAGGATGCTCCAGTCCACTGCTAAACGAGGTAACACAGGAAGCACTGGCGCACCTTTCCTCAGTATTTGGAGAATCTGACCAGCTCTACACGGATGCTTCCGGGTCGCTTCTCTCAGTTAGGAAACACTGCCATGAAAAATCGTCTTTGACTGCATCATTTTTGGGGGATTTTGTTCATGTTTACGTTTAAGTCATTTCCTGCTGTTACTGTTACTTCCTGTCTCTGTTAGTGATCCCTCTTCTGCAACTGTCTGCTTCTCCCGCAACACTTCCACCTCTGTTGAATCTGCCACACCTGTTTACGATTAGCTAAGCTGTGTGTGTGTGTGCGCGTGTATATGCAACCTGTGGAGCTTCTTCTGTTCATGTAGTCAGTTCATGTAACTCCATGTAGTCAGCTTTTCAGCATTACATTAGTGTATCATAGTGTTTTTCCTTTTTCTTTTCTCATGTTTCACACACAGCCAGCTGATCTGTGTAGGTTATCAGTAACTAATTTGCTCATTGGAAGTTTGAATTTCACTTCTTTGATTGTCATTGTGAGTTTGAAATTTCCTCCATAAAACACACCAACCCTGTACATTTCCTGGTTCCAGCTATTCTGTTAAATTCAATTTGTTTATACAGCACCAGTTAACAACAGCTACCCATAAGTGCGTTATATTTTAAATAAAAGATCCTACGTTATCAGAGGAAGAAGTCAATCAGACAAATCTCTGAGTAGATTCAGACTCAGGGAGGGGCAGCCATCTACCACGATTGGTTAGAGTGTGAAAAAAGGACAAAACAAAATCAGCAAGTTTCACTTAAAATTAAAAATATGCAGTTTTTCTAAACTCCTGCACGTATTCCCTCGCATCGTCTCTCAGTCATGGAGCAGAGAGAGAAAACAGAGCCACCTGCACACAAACCTCAGAAAACACTCTGTCAAAGTGAAGTGCATGCTACAGCTCTACTGCAAATGTTTTCCTTGGTTTTTTCTTCATTATCTAGAGGTGATTTCTAATTATCAAACAAAATGCAGTGCTCATTCATGCTGCAGGAACACGGCCGCCTGCAATATAAATTAATGTGCTCAGTCATTTGAGGAAGTGCAATTATATGAAGGAGGGACAACAAAAGAGAGAGAAAAAACATGGTGACCAAACAGAAGAAGAAAAAGGAGAAAATAAAGAGGTGAATTATGGGAATGGCATCTGCTTCTCTCTGGGATTTTTCGAAATTTCCTTAAAAAGGCTGCAGGACATCGACCGAGATGCTCATTCATGAATATGAAGGTTTCTGTTCTCTGATGTGAGGAAGCCTTTTTATCTGTTGAAGTGTTTCCTTATTTTGATTGAATTGAAATAGTAAAGAATCTCATCTGGACTCTTCTTCCACCTCATTAATGCTTCCATGTTCACGAAGCGCCACACCGCTTACACGCGCACACATATGACCCCCCACGTAGTAACAATCCATCACTCAGCCTGCAGAGGCGACTCCCCTCCCCCTGCAGTCTTCGGCAATCACAGGGCGAGAGAGGCGACCAGCCACTGCCTCTCCAACGTCTTTTCTTCTCCGTCAAAGGCAGCCAGGCCCCTGCGGACCAGCCAGCCAACGCCCCTCCCCCTGCCTCCACATCTCTTTTTCCTTCAAATCCCTTCTTCCTTTCTTTCACTGCCTCTCTCTCCTTTCTTCTCAGTCTGCTCACTCGAGCTCACAGCATCTCCATCTTCCTTACCATCTCTTTTCCCCCATTAATGCTGCATCCTTATTCACCCAGCCAGCCTTCCCCTGATTTTCCTCTTCTGGTTAACAAACCTGCTTCTCTACCCTCACCCTGCCTCATGTTACCATGCTGCCTTCCCATCTCCTTCAACTTCATTTATCTTTCCTCTCCTCCTCCCTTCCTTCTTTCTTCTTTATTATCCTCTTTTCCCCCACTGTTTCCTCAATTCTCCCTCATCTCATCATCCATCTAACTCCATCTTCTTCTCCATGTCTTTGGCTGTTTAGCAGAAGCAGTTTACACATTCAGACAACACACTGAGATGATTATTTGTCACAAACTCAGGTGGCCATGCCTGGTACCATCATTTAGGTTCCCTGCAGAATCAGCAGCCTGAAATTTTACTAACCAGGCCACAAAAATGCAAACACAGTCATGGCCAGTTTATATGAATAAAACCTGCTCACAGTTTAGTTGGCAGAGACATGATTTGGGATTTGGATGACCAAAAATCAAACAGTAACGTAACCAACTATTTCTATCGACCTCAGTTATGAGTTCATCCGTATAGCAAACCAGCTGAACTGAACCCTCCCTAGCAAATACTTTCTTCATGCAGTCAGTATTTTCACATTAAAGGGAACTTATAAAGAAAGTGAAGTCGTGAATATGGGAAAGAGTAAAGCTGACGGTGCAGTAACACCATTTCACTCGCGTCTGTAACTAAAAACAGATCTGCGAGGACTAAAATGTATTTACAGCCACTTTAATGAGAATCAGCGCAATCAGTCTCAGTTTTTCCTCAACAGGTTAATAATACGACATCAGTGATCAGGACTCTCTGACAGCGAGCGGCAAAGAGGAGGCGGCGACACGACTGAAACAGTCAATCCAGGTTGAGTGAAACATAACATTTTCAAGTAAACACCCGTGCAATTAGTTTAATCAAAATCAAACCCCTGTTCAGCTGTTCAGTAACTTTAAACGTCAAGAAAAGCCAATTTTCACCTACTTCGTCTGCCCCCAGGTTGATCAGCATAGCAGCAGCACAGTATAATCAAGAGGAAACAAACACAAAAGTGTGTGTCACTGTTATGCAGAGACCCCAGATGACGGGCAGTTTGTGTTTGACACCAAAAAGTTTTAAAGGGATGCAGAAGAAGTCAATCTTTAGGCAGGAGTATGTGCAAAAACATGGTAATTAACAGCAAAAGAAAAAAAAATCAATCAAGGAAACTAAAATAAAACTAAAGAAAATACTAAAATACTACAGAAATCACTCTCTCACGTTCCCCTGCTTCTGCCCCAGTCACTCTCTGCTCTGGACCTAATCAAACATGTCTTCACTCCCACTGGTTACCAGCTGAGTCCCAGGAACACTGAGGACTCATCAGAGGCAAAACAATTAAACGAATTAAGTCTGGTTGAATTCAGCTACCAAAATACACCAAAAACAGAAACACACGTGATCAGTGATGACACACTCCACTGACAATATCTGGGAATTGGGCACAGTGAAAAGGGGGAAGGCGTGACAGCTCCACTGTCACACTGACAAACTGCTTGTTTAGCTTTCTACTTTAAATTTGGTGCATTTCTTTTAAACTTTGCTGCAGGCTGACAGCAGCCGTCCTCTCTCTGCCTGTGATACCTGCAGGGTTGAGTTTAAAGGAGAGCACGGCATTTTCTGGTTTTTATGAGATATTTTAGATTTAAATGTCAGTTTAAAGACATTTGCATTAATAGAATATATGTTTTATTGCAATTTCTCCAGGAATTGCACACTTCTAGTTTACTGGCAACCTGCCCAGTGTGTACAACACTTGTTGCTCAATGTTAGCTGGGACAGACTCCAGCCATTCTGTAATCTTATTTGGACAAGCTGCTAAGAACATGGATGGATTTTACACTAAAAGATGGAGGAATTCTCCTGCAGGCAGGGTCAAATGAAAGATGCCATAAAGTGAATAAAAGTGTAGCGATCGAAGTTTTGAGAGTCCATCATCGGCTTACTAGTCCTCACTTTATGACAAACAGATGCAGATAATGTTTTTGTGTATGCTCTGTCCTCATCGTAGGTGCTGTGAAGATTAATCAGCAGTTTTCTGAACACAGAAAACTGTTATCTTCTGTGTTTTGCGGGGCCGGTGTTACAGCCCCTTCTTTGCCTTCTGGCCAAACTTGGTCTTTTTTGAAACTTCCAAATCAATCTGCTATAGTTGCTCTTTTTTGTGATTCACAACTACGTCCTATAAAGTCTCAAAGTATAAACTTTTAATTTATCTTTGTATGACTACATTTGCTTTTTTTCATAATAAAAAGTAATGATTTCTTTGAAAATTTGTAGTGTAATCATCAACACTTAAGAACCAATCAGACACAGCTGAGGCCTTGTGTGCGTTGTTTCACTTGAAAGCTCCCAGTGGTCCTGAACGCTCAATCACTCCCACTTCATCCCTCACTCCGGTTTCCCTTTTTCCTCCTTTTCCATCCCTTTATCTCCCCCAGCGACTCACCCAGCCTCTTCAGCGAGCTGTAGCGGTTGATCTCAGGTTTCATGTTTGCATCGTAGGACGGTGGCAGCTGAGCCAGGTTGTGGAAGGAGTGCGAAAAAGACGGGTGGCTGCTGTTGTGTCTCAAGACGCTGCCGCCGCCGCCTCCCGCACCTTTGCTGCTACCAGAAATCAGGGTGGGCCCGGAAGTGAGCTGGGGGGTGTTGTTCATGCGGGATCCACGCTCTTGAGAGAGAGAAAGACAGAAAGAGGTGGAAAAAGGAAAGAAGAGATAGATGGAGAAGTGAGGAGGAGATGAGGGGGAGAAAGGAGAATGAAGGAGAGAGAAGGTTTGGAGGATGAAAGGAATGATGTGTAAGTGTAAAAGAACAAAGAGAAGGAAAAGAAGAAGTGAAAGAGAGAACAAGAGAAGATTATACAAGCTGGTTAACTATCAGTAAACAGGAAGTGTCTCTGAGCTCCATGGAGACCATCTATTAATACAACTCTGTGCTGTTCATCTGAGGCTCAATAAGACGAACGTATCAGCCACATGTAAATACACAGAAATACACTGATAGCTTCAGGAATCTACACACTCAAGCACACGCACATATTCACATTTATGCAAAGTGCAAAAGCAGCACAGCGATCAATAGACATAAAAAATGATTTGTCTTATGTAAGGTTTGCGGTATGGGGGAGGGGCAGGGGTGTCTGTTTTGCGGCACGTATACTCATATCCATTACATCATAAGGTGTACAAGTACATTCATAGTTTCCAAACAGCAAACAAACAGCAGTGGAAATGACCCAACATGTAGGTGCGCACAGGTCACCTGACATGTGTCGGATCTGTACATTCAAACAGAGGACAGAGGGACACATCTGCAGTGGACAAACACATGCCAGCCATCGCTGGATTAGCATTACAGAGGAATCTGAGAAGCTCGATTGACTGCTAAATGTCAGCAGAGGATGTTTGAAAGGTTAGAAATGTGAGGAAAAACTATGAAGCAGCGATTAAAGCTTGCGTAACTGTGGCCATTTGCTGCTGCTTCCTGTCTTAGACGCAGATATAATCAATGGTGAGTCCATTCGGGGCGGTAACAGCTATGGGCTGCGATCTTGTTAAGATAACTGCAGGACATATACTGGTCATTGACCATTGACAGTAATGGGCAATAATGGCCAATGTTGTCTCTGTTAAGTGCCACCCAGGGAACACACGCCACATCGACTTCTGTACCGTGAATTCTACATACACTCACACATACACACACACGGTGGGGAAAAAGCAATGCTAGCTCTGAGCTCTGAGATCATATGGCTGTAAAGCAGGAGCTGAGCAGCAGGATGCAGGCTGTGGAGGAAATAAAAGGTAGAAAGCATCAAATGTCCTACCAATTGCTCTGTGTTTTTGTGCCACCATGCTAAATTAGCCTGGTAATTTCCATGAGTGAGAGGTAATTGATTTTTTTTTTTTTTTTTTGAACACCTACGATGGCTGACAGAGGTTTGGTAATGGTGTCCGGGAAAAATGAACTTTGCTCAGTGTGAGCCGAGTATGTGACTCAGAGAGTTGAGGGGTTTGTGATTGTGTTGTACCAGGAGGCTGGTAACTTTAACACAGGAGGGAACCAGACAAGTGATGCAAAGGAGGTTCTAAAGTCTAAAATCTCACCTTTAGAATCAAAAATATTGAGTACAAACCGGCACAACTGAAGTAAAATCATCAAAATTCTTGGGACTGAAAGTTCAAATATATCAAAGACTTGAAGTGAAGGGCATCTCCTTTATCCAACAGCCTACAGTTTATTTTTATTTTGTTAATTTTAGGTTTGTACTTCCTAATTTGTGCCTGTGTGTCTGGTTGTTTCCTGGTCCAAGACGATTCCCCATAATTTGCATTAACAAGTAATGCCCCCTTAGACCGGGGGTTGTCAAAATGCAGTTCACGGGGGAGCAGTGAGGCACGTGATGTTAACAAATACACTAAATCTGTACATTTTATTCATCCACTTGATGATATAACAGTGCAGAAGCAAACCAAGGGAACATTTCTCTTTAGTCATCACAGCTGACTAAACCTTCCTAACACTGAAAAGCACAGCTGGTGTCAACAAATGTCACCTCACTAAAAAACTATAAACCGGCACAGAAAACAATAATTACCCACATAAGCTATTACTCCAAACCTAAAGGCGCGTGCATTTTCTTGTGCGGCCCTCAATCACATACCTAAAATGTCACATAGTTTTATAACAACCTTGTGAATAGTGATGTATTAGACCTGTTAAATCACACAGCGCTGCACAAAATGGCTGAATTTAGATTAAATACAGCAAACGCTAAATTATATATTTAATAGTTTCTTTGTAAGGAAAGACATAAAAAGCAAAATCCGTGTTGTTTAGGTTTTTTTTTGACTGTGTCGGGTTTTTGCATAAGGTAGGAAATGTCTTGGGGTTTACCTTCCTTATGATTGGCAGGTTTAGCTTAATGGTTAATCACAGTCATCATCAAAACCCCAAGATGTGTAAACCGGCTCATTTATAGACCAATTTACTCCTAAAAATATGTTTTATTTTGTCTATTGACGGTTTTGATTTAGAAAGTGATGAAGACAAACACATTTCTAACTGCACCTTTAACTCCTCCAATAAAATCTGCCTTTATCTGATATTCAGATTTCTACTCTTGAAATCTATGCAATAAAACTCATGCATATTTAGATACACCAATAGAGACATTAGTGTCTTTTGCATATGCTGCTTTTCAATTTTTCTGTGCTCTCTGTGTTTCTAGGACCAGAAAACTTTATCTTTAATGTAAGTCACTGACTAGTTTTATGTAATAATACAAAATGTTTACACTTTTTGCCCCGTAGTGTCTCTCCTTAGATGAATTAAGTTGAAAATGATGATGTAATTGTACTTGCTGGTTAATATTTGCTGTCCTCTCAGCCGGTTTTACTCTTTGCTGTTGCCTTCTTGTGTAATCTGCTGCATGAGGGGCACATGTAGGTGTAATAGCTTGCAAAAACTGGCACTGAAACAACTTAAAAAGTTAAATGGAAATCATGCTCATCTCCATCAACACCATCATATTTCCATGGCAACCTTATCCTGTATCCTGTCAGAGTCATGTTAGAGGCATAAAATCAGCCTTCGCAGATAATTATCTGACTTGCAGTAGGAGTTCATGTGTTTCCTGGGTGCAGCACAATGACCTTTGGTGGAGATGAATCACTCGCGCTAGCATTGCTTTTCTGTTTTCTTCGTGTAAAGCCTGCGAAAACAGACTCGGGTTAAAGCGGTGACCTCCTTCGAAGTTTGGTATCACACTTGCACATCACTGCTGCACAGAGAGAGGAGGAAGGACGAACAAGCACATCTGGAAGCAGGCTTGTGGGGGGGAGTGAGTGAATAGGGAAGACGGGCTTGCATTAAGCAAAGGGCAGGCCAGACAAGTTTAAGCTCACACTCTTATGAAAGATCTGTCAGATTCAACACAACCGTGTGACGGGGGAAATCACTGGAAACGTACAGCACGCTGTGATTTCGAGCACAAATCTGCGCGTAGCCACAGGGTGGGGTTGACAATGGCACAGCTGTTTTAAGAGCGCAGCACAACAGGCCGTCATACTGACATCGAGACAGACAGACAGTGGTGGAGGTGAGGCCGCGAGTCCGGCTCACTGGGCTGCTAACCACGAGGCTTACCGATGGTAGCAGAGTGTTTGGGGCTGGAAGCAGACCCCTGCTGGTTAAAATGATGGTGCAAGTTCCCAGCTGCAAAGAGAGCAGAGCCGACAAACTGATGGGACAGCCACTCGAGAGACACGGGAGGCATGTCGAGTAAGCATTTGTGTCAGTAAAGAGACAGAGAGAGAGAGAGACAGTGGGTGAGACAGGACAGTGAGAGGGGAGGACAGAAAAGAGACAGACTCAGTCCCTCCAGGAATGAGCTGACTTTTGCATTTCTTATTTAAATGACAAAGGTTGTCGCAATTAACTGAATCGAACTGGCAACCCCCAGATTAAATCTTTTATGCAACACTGGCAAAAGTGAGGTCGTTTGGTTTTTACTTTGCATTGTGAAGCAGCACGCGAATATCCTTAAACGGTCATCTCAGGTGTAGAAGCCACACCCACCTGCTATTAAAGTCTCTTTGCAAGTGGCAGCCAATGAGAATAAAGGTTTTTCAAATGTTACAAATAACAATTATTTTGAACTGTGACTCACACAAAGCACCTCTAGCAGAGTCTAGAGTTGGAAACATGCACAGTGGGTCCTTTTAAAGCAAAGTTCCAACTCTTTAAAGTGCAGATTTTCACCGTCTTTCCCTTTTTATGATTGCAAGCTGAGCTTTAGAGTAACCGTTGGACACAAGAGACTGAAAAGACACTGCCGTTTTCTAGCAATTCAAAAGCTGAATTGTTATTCAACAATAAAAAAAAAAAGATTTCTCAGCTCCTGTCTGTAAACTACACAAAAAATATAGTTTCATAATTTCTGCAGTTGCTAAAATGTGAAGCTTTGGTACTACAAGGCGCTCTTACCATTTTTACCTCAAGAGAATCAAGAGCAGCTAAATAAATAATTTAAAAAATCCACTATATTTGGCACATTTTTCATCTTTTCTTGGCTGGAATTTGCAATTTTCCAACCTTATTTGCAGAGTCAGAGAACAATCGAATTCCTAGAGAGGCTGAAAGAAGAGAGAGCTGGTTTAGTGAAAGACGAGACAGAGCAACAGAGAGATAAAGCAGAGGTAAAGAGAGAAATGTGTGTGTGTTTCATTTCTGTGATTTTCCTGTGTGAGAAAACAGAAACATTCATGTCCTTCTGATAATCACCAGAGAGGAAAAACTTTGTGAAATCACACAAACGCTGTGTTTAATTCTATGATCGTGTTGACTTTAGTGTTCTAGTGTTTGCAGCATTTTTCCTCAGCAGATTCAACACAAAGCTCCTCTGTGTGTGGGCAACATAAGCATCTAAATAGGAGTGGAGGTTTTTCTTATATTAAAGCTTAAATCATGAGATTCAACCTGAACATTTCATACAAAATATAAAACACATCCCCCTGTGGTAGCACTATTTAGAAAAAAGTGACAGTCAACATAAAGGAACCTTTAAAAGACACTTTTTAAAACACTGATGAGCCAAAACATTGGGACCACCAGTCTATTAACCTGTTAGTACTTTCTGTGTGCCTAAACCAGCTTAAGGTGCTCATTTCTCCCATACCTGACATAATACCCTGCAAAGCTGGCTGTTCGTGCAGACTGAAACAATTATTCAGGGTGAGAATTTGACTCTATCCCAGGCTACTTAGTCTAACCATATGTGTTATTTAAGCAACATATCTTGTTTCTCCTGAGTGATAAAAAGAATTCACTTTCATGATATGTTTGTGTCTCATTTTGGCTGTAAATTACAATCAATAGAAGAGTGAAGGGAGGGTGGAGAGAGTGTGCATACATAACTTACAGCTTTTTTAGGATATAATTATTAAAGTTATCTGTGATACTAGTAGGTATATGGAAACTCCCTTAAGGTTGAAATCTGTTTGTCTTGTTATACAGATGAGCTGCACAGTCTGTGTTTCAGGATAAGCTAACATTATGAAGTTGCAACAATCGGAGTACCTGCTGCAGCAGAAGCAGGTTTCCATCCCGTGCTTTGCAGAGAAAAGAGTGCTGGCATGCTGTGGTATAAAGGTGACCGTGACTGAGTCACTGCTCAAATTAATAGCAGGCCAAAGTCCCCCAAATGCTACACTCACCCTGCGGAAAACACTGGCTGGAGACGGCACAACCAAAAGGATTGTAACTGTGTCCAATGATCTTGTCATCTTCACAAAGGCTTAAATTATTTATAAAAGGGAGTGAGTGTGTTTGCAATTGAATGTCAGTTAAGCTGTTTATGATAAACCACAGTTAACTTTGGTAAAATGTTAAAAATCACAAATCTGTTGCTGAGCTACATACACGGAAAACCTAATTTAAGAAAACTTCATATTAACTACTTACAGTCAGAGTCCAGCCAGAAGCTCATACATATTAAATAGAAACTCAGATGGTCCTCCACAAATAGTGACATAGTTGATTGCAAAATGACATAACCTTTCTTTCATATAGAAACATAAGCAGAGAACAACTAAATGGCAGCCAGTGAATCAGATCCTTGATTGCAAACAGATGTGTCGGAGACAAGTTTGCAACATTTCTGCAGTCTGTCTGAGTTTGAACATTACACCAATTATTTGCAGACCTTCTCCAGTCTGTCTGTCAGTGACTGCATTCAGTCCGAGTTGGACCTCGATTGTTTGGAGACAAACTGACGCTCACCAGGTGGCTTCTACAATTGCAAAACAATTGAAAGTGGAAAGTAACCAACTTGATTGCAACAACAACTAGCTGCAATCATTTGTAGACTGGGAAAAAAAACCAAGTGCAATCACTGGACAACCAAGATTTTCCTGGTTGCAAGGAGTTTGGTGTCCTATTGAGCGAGTGGTTAGACCAGGAAGTATCCTCATCCTCCCAATGGGCAAATTTAAGCAAAGTTATTTCCTTCATCTGTGAGTGGTCAAAATGTTTCAGCTCATCTGTGTGCAGGTCATGTTTGTGCAGAAATATAGAAAGCTGAATGAGAATTAACCTTTAAAAAAATAAAACACATCTCTAAACATTTTATTTTTCAGATTTAAAAACTGTTAAATTCAATGCATACTTTTATGTTTTAATTCAGATGAATACATTTTTGCAAGATCACTTGAGTAATAAAGAGCAGAAGGTGAATCCAGACAGGAAGCCAACCCTTTAAAAGTCTGAATCCATGTTGTTTCATTTCAAAAGACCCTCTGAGATTACTGATGTTAAACAATAATCTCAGGGGGCTTTTTTAAATGAAACAACATCTGGCAACAATTCACTCACAACAAATGTATTCCACCTGAAGTAAGAAGTGTGTTGCTGATATTTGAAACAAGAGCAGCGACAATTACCACCTTTTCCACTGGGGACGAGACAAGCTGGCCTCATTCGAATGCTCGTTTAACCTGAATATAATAATCGTCACTCACTGCGGTTGTCTTTGATCTGCAGGATGGGGGTGTACAGGTTTTTGGATGTGCGTCCGTCTGAGGTGGTCGTCAGCACTGTGCTGTTGTTCCTCTCGCCCTGCTGCACGGGGCTCGACTGGTGACGCAAGATATCCACCAGTGATCTGACGCAGCAGCGGGAGGACGGAGGGAGAGAAGCACGAGGGCAGAAAGACAAGAGGAACAACAGATGTGAGGAGAATAGTGAGAAAAGATCATGTGGAGGAAACATTTTCTCAGTCAGTTATACTTCAGAGCACTTTCCAAATGTGTCCAAAGCAATCCTATCATTGAAAATAATGCAGTTACGTTTCACTTTGATCTGTTTGTAAATCTTCTAAAACCTCAGTCTCACATGTCTTAAAAGTTTTCATGTTCCGCTGCAAACTGAGACGTTTTAACACCTCACCTCTGGCTGAAGATCATTATTATTATTATTATTATTAATATTAATATAATCGCATGTGTAATATATAATCATTTACCAAGATAGCAACAACTAGATTAAAAGGAGACATGAATAATTGGTTTCATAGACACAATTTCTGTAACTGAAAGCTGAAATGAGTCTTAAACTTGCATTGTTTCCAATGGCCAGCAGGGGGAGACTCCCTCTGCTTTTCCAGGTTCATTGAAGTCTATGAAAAAAAGAGCCCACCGGTCACCTGATTTATGACCTCAGTAAACACCTTCCTGACTAGTTTAGGGGCTCAGTCACTAGTTTCTTGTTTAATACAACAAGCGTATTTTATAAGTTATAGTATGGCTTACTTAAAGTACCTTTTAGGGCAGAAATGACTTGTGATTGACAAGTTGGCCATATGCACCTCTACAGGTGACTAAGATGATTCTCTTCAAACTAGGACTTCACCCATCTTTATATGCAGACATTTCACAGATATTTATTGATCATAAGCATACGTTTTGCATTTGAATTTTTAGAAAGACATTTCAATTTAACTTTTTTCTCTGAATGGTCTTTTCTTAGCAGCGTTTAATGCCTGGCAGAATCTGGCTTCACCGTCTGTGCTCCTCGTGGATAGCATCGGGTTTCGTGTCTTTGCTGTACGTCTAAACTGAGAAGCCAAGCAGCCGTCCAGCAGTCTCACCTGGGCATGTTGATGTCTCGGTTTCGGGGTCGACGAGCCACCTTGCTGAAGGCAATCCTGACGCCCACGGCCACCACCACAGTGAAGGAGATCACACCTCCGATCACATAGGCCGTGCTGTTTATAGAAAAGAAATTACATCAGGGCACTCAGCAGGAAAAACTACACGCTTTTCAGCTTCTTTTTCATTTTATAGTAAATTTTCAGTACGATTCATGTCTCTAGCCTTAATTGGAAATAATATTGTACTTCAAGTACAATTAGGGGCGCATCAATAGAAATTCATAGGTGATACTATTTTTCCTCATTGTTGCAGGATCAAACAAGAACTCTGTTTCATTGTTAAAAGTTTTTAGCTCCTCTTCAAGCAATTTTTTAACACACAGCACAAACTTTTTATTTTTACAAATAGCGTTTACAGAAAGTGTTACAAATTTTTAGAAAGATTTTAGTGCTTATGCAATTACTTCAACTTGTTTTTACCCTTGATTTCTTAAAAATGTGCTCAAAATGAAAAATCCAAAAGAATACCAACTCTATACCCCTGAAATTCATCTGTAAATAATAAATATGCAAACACATTATTTTTTAAAAACATTTAATGCAAATATTACTCATTAAATTAACTTGTTTCTGTCAAGATCGGGAGGTTATTTTGACAAATTATGCTGCTCTTTATTTATCTTTGCTTTCGAGATGATTCTAATATATTGTACTTTTCCTCTGATGGCTCTGTGACTGACACATCCAGACTCTGACCTGCTGCTCTGCTGCGGAAACGTCTCAAAGTCGGGGTCTGTTTTCACCGCGGGCACAGTGACGGGGACCTGCGGGTCAGCCCAGTCGGGGGACTTGTAGTTGGTGCAGGAATCCTGATCTAGCTGGTTCCTCTGGTGCTCGCAGCAGAACCGGTAGTGGCAGGTGCCGCAGCAGTAGATGTAACTGCCCTGGGAGCAGTTGAACGAGTTGTCAAATTGCCCCATCACATCATAGTAACCCCTGCGGAGTAAAGTTGGTAAAAACGTACCATTAATGCCGTCGTGTACCGCGCCTCTGCTGCTTAAGGTTCTTCTTTGACCCTGAAAGTTCACAGGATGTGAGCGTTTGGCATGCATCATAATTTCGATTTCTGCCAATACAATCTTCTCCCACATCTTTACCTCCTGACGCTACATTAAAGTACATTAAAGACAGAACTCTTGAAAAAAAAAAGAATGGTTATTTTCACTAAAACACTGGTGAAAAAATAATAACAGAATAGAGTGAATGTCCACAAACTGGTAGAGGTGTGATGCCTAGTGCTGTGATCTGGAGCTTGAAATATTAGTGAAATCTGAAAGCCATTTGTAAATTTACTGCCAGTCCTGAGCCTCTTTTAAGTGTTTGTGATACTCCATATCTCAGGAATGCAATACCCAGCAAACAACTGAGTGAGCTGCCTTTGTGTTGCATATGTGTAGTATACTGTTTATATGACATTACTGCTCCTCAGTGTTAAAATCATGCTTATTCGACAGTTTCTGCAGACTTTATCCACTATATGATCTTATGTTTAGCTGCCTGCTGTGCTGTCTGACCAGAGATTTATGTCACTGTTTTAAACTCTAGATTTAGGACAACTGTCAAGGGTCATGCTGGGTCCATTTAATGGATCAACTGGTCAAATACTGGACATTTTTTTCAAAACTGTGATCAAGCTTATTTTAATTCTACTCGGGTATATTTGCAGTTGCAGTATAATCCTGCAGTTGCTGTATTGTGTAGTTGAAGTTTTACGTAGGTGCATCCCAGGCTAGGCCCTAGCCTCAGGCTTTGGGGCCCCATTATACAGTGCCATCGCCAAAGCTCTGTAGCATTTATGCCTGCATGTAGGGTGCTATTGTCGCCACTCAGACAAAACCTCCACATCAGTGCTGATGTAGGAGGAGAAAAAGTCAAAAGCTGAAGCAAAGAAATCACATTTTTGTCCAAAGTCTCCTTTTTTCAAATTGTGATGGTACCGGCACAAACCGTGTGAGGTTACAAAAACTGAGAGGTGCACAACTGAGCACAACACCACCAAAGCAGAGGATGTGACATCACTGTTGTCTTGCCTTGTCATTTGCTGGGAGGAGAGTGGCAACATAACAGTCACATTAGGGTTATGTGGCTCTACATTAGGTGTGGATGCAGCAGTGGGAGGTTTTTGTTACTGCTTTTGAACTGGCTTTGAAGCCTTTCATGGACTTCCCCTGACTGAGATATTACCTTTATTGTTGCAGGACCTCTCTGAGCACTCCGAGCTAAAACTCGTCGTCTCAAAGGCGATAAATGTTTTAGGTAAATCCTGCATTTGTTCTGCGGAGAGCTTTTTGGGCTCGCAGAGTAGCGCAAAGGAAAACGTAGAACGGAGCTCTGTCTTCACTGCAGCGCTTCGTGCTGCTTTCTTGTGCCTGAATGTAGCTGCTGTTGATAGTCGTAGCGTGTGGCTCGCCAACACACATCTGACTTAGAGCTGATTATACGTTGCTTAGCAACAGCAAGACGCCTCTCAGTGAAAAATATGAGCTTCTGTGAGATGAAGATCCGAGCTGAAGGAGGGGAATCATGATGTGCCTCGCTTTTATGGCATCCAGAGTGATCAAGCCATCACATTGATGGATGTAAATTAGGGCGATAAAAAGATCCGCAGGCCTTCGACGACGAGCAAAACTTCAGCACAGCGGAAGATATAAAACAAGGAAAATCGTGATATTTCAACTACATTTTTATTAAAAGCCATTTACGTTCATGTAATCTGATGTTTCTGTCTAGAATGTACTTTTTTTAATTCACATTTTGTATGTCAACTTAACCCCAGAACTAAAAATGCCTGAACAGCTGCTAAGAATTTAATTTCTGACCCGATTGTGGAATATGAGTTATGTCAGCTGTAGAAGAATTGGATGCTTCTCTTGGTACCATGACAAAACACATGTTGATGCTTTAACAGCTCACTCTGCTGACCTGCTATTCCTAATGGAGTATAGTTTTTCAAAACAGATTAAAATAGTTTGGATTAGAGCTACACTGATCCAAGCTTTTGTGCTCTGATACATTATCGAGACCTTGGCTTCAGCCCCACAGATTGGCCACACTGTTGCATCCACAATTTTCAACTCTGGAACAGTTACAAAAATGTATCTAATATAAAATGTATATAGATATTTGGAATGATTTTAGCTGACAAAAATGTGTTTCCATGTCCAAAGATTTCATTTTAGGTTACCTTAATAATTTAGCACTTATCCTCCTTTCCTGCTCAAACAATAAAAGATGTTTTTACGTGTCCTGTAATTCTAGTTAGCTCATACTGATGTCTCATCCAGTAACATTTCTTTGACATAATTATAGACTGTATATAAAGGATGGATGTGGGCATTGTGATATGACTCAGTGGTTGGTGAAGTCCCGTACTGAAGCTTTGAGTTCAGTTTTTTGACCGTCAGTGTCTGCTTTCAAATAAAGACATTACAGTCAAGGGATAATTCTGACTAAGGACACTGCATGCTCATACAGCACACATGGGCTCAACCCCATTCCGTTCCTATTTGATTAGAGAGAGTGTAAAATGTGAATGCAGCTTCCTAGTCTGAAAAATAAAGCCAACATAGACGTATAAAAGTCACTAAGATTTTTCAAATTTGGAACCATTCTACTAAAACTTATGGAGTTTAGCACAATTCAGCACAACATTCATCATGTTTCAGCTGAGTAGTTCAAAATGTGGCCGTATACTTTTTCCAAATTATTAAGAACTCCTGAGAAAACTGTTACCTGACTCATAAAGCACAGCCTTCTTTACTGTTCAAGTGACTCTAACATGGGACAATAATTTAAATGGCCATGCAATAAAAAAAACACTTAAAGCTAGAAAATGAGATTATAAACTCATTTACTAACTAGTTAAAAATCAAGCGAGTAATTTTTCCATAGATTTTTACAACAGCTAACTTCTCTCTGCAGTTACAAGAGTCTCCCCCTGCTGGAGCTAAGACAATGCAGGTTTAAAGCGCCGCCATTGCATCGGCTTTCTGTTTAAAACGCCTCGACTTTGTTCATCTTTAATATTCATTTTATGGATATTAGTTAAAAGTTCTCACAACTAAAAGAGCCCACATACAGAAACATGTTCCATTAGCTTTTAAGACTTAACAAAAACAGTGATAAACACTACACAGAATTTCTGACAACATTACTTGCACAGGTCCACATCCACCAGCTGTCTCGGGGCTGGAGCCACCTGGGCCGCACCGAGGGGAGGCTTCAGTGCTGCCGTTACGTTCCTTGGCAACATGGACTGAGGGAGGGGCTTTGGTGGCAGCTCAGCCATGACCGGTGGATCATCCCCGTCCTCCACCTCTGCCGCTTTTGGCGGCACTTTGGGTCCGGCAGGCAGCCGTGGGAGTGGCGGCTTGTAGCCCGTCAGGAGGAACAAGGTGGTACTCGTTTTACCAGAAGCGGCAGAGCCGCCCCTGCCGGTCAGAGTCCTGATATCACCATCGACAGCGCGTCGCCGAGTGGTGATGGTTACAGTGGAAACAGCGAGGCAGGAGAAAAGCAAGAGGATAAGGGATAAGCAAAGCATCCCCTTTAATATTTTAGACGTCATTGTTTTATCACAAAGTTCTCGAGCCAAAAAAGTCACAAACAGCTTCAAATGTCAGCGAGATCCTCCAAAAAAACCCTCCATTACGAAAAGTTTTATCTGCAGTCTGATGAACTAATCCCTTGGGTTGGATTTCAGCAGATTCACGTTGTTCGAGCAGTGTTTCATGAATGCGTTTGGCGTGTCACTCCGTCATCTGAATGTAAACATTTCCGTCTGAATACAAATCCTTCCCATAAGCAGCGTTTGTAAACATTGAGGTCTTTTAGAGTTTTTTAGGCCCTATGCGATGTGTCTGTACAATGGCTGTAGACCTAAAGTAATCTAACTTAAAATTGATTAGAAATAGAGAATAATGTGGGTTTGTTTTATGGCAGCAGGTATTAAATGTTTAATTTTGGTCTGTCGGTCGACAAAGTGCCGTTTTACAGTCCGTTGGCCTAAAATCTTCAAAACAGGCAGTATTGAGACGTTTTCTGTAAACAAAATGAGTATGAAAAACTGTAAACTCGTCGTATAATGACTCGTCCAGAAGAAGAGTCCTATGTCTCTGAATGCAGGGTGTTCTGGGAGCTGTTTATGGCACAAAAGTCATGTAAGAAACTGCAATGAAAACTGTGGTCTGTAAACATTTAGTGCTGAATGTAAACTTTGTATTCAATGAGCTCTCACAGACGCTGGGTGTATTCTTCTCGGAGTTTGGCACTTCTGTTGTCCTGGGTGGAGAACTAATGTGTGAAAATTATACATGGAAATGAAATCAAATTAAACATCGAGCTCCGTGTGTCTCGTGTCTGTAAACAACAGTGCTGGCAGCTTTAGAGATCTCAGCTCTGTTTGGTGAACAAGCTGAGAGGAAGTCCGTGTAAATTTGGCACAAGCTGTTACTTAAACTTCTCTTACGCCACGCTCACAGTTTGCCCAATAAACCAAATCTCCCTTTCAAAGAATTTAGAGGAAGAGGAGCAGTAAAGGTCAGTATGCTTGAAATTTTGGTTTCGAACAATGGAACGGTGAATTTATGAGTCGTGGGCTGTGAGCACAACTAATAAAGGTACTATCACTGACGGCATTAAGCAGCATCAAATCTATAAGAAAGAAGTCCTTCCAGCAGCTACCGGAGGACAGACATCAGTTCATTAAGCGAGCGTGTCAAGGCATTCACAAAAGAGTGATCGATGGCGAGGATCTGGTGGATGAATTACAGGAAGAGACGACAGAACAAAGCGAGGATCTATGTGCGTTTGATACCCTCGCGCGAGTGTCTTTGCTCTGAATTTAGCTTGGCCCAGCAGAAGAGGACGAAGGAGGGCTTGGGCCCGGTTCTAGCAGGGCAGCGAGGTTCTGCCCACAGAACAGACATGAAACTGTCCGGATTCATCCGTCAAGACAGAGGAACGCAGGGTGATGATGGGAACTCGACACGACCACTGCCACGCTTGACACCACAGGCTGTGCGATCTAAAAACACGCAGGTAGAAAAAACTTACAAAGCCGCTCTTTCATCCAAAGGAATGAAATTTCGGGTCACTAGCAGTTTCTTCATCGACTCCCTGAATGTGTGTGTGCGTGCACCGACGTGACTGAGGATCACTTTGTTGTAGAGACCTTCAACATCGTGAGCTCTGTAAATGTATTCGTATGGCTGGTGTTCAGTATGGCTTTAGGTTATGTTCTTTTTTGTTATTTTTAAATATCTTTACAAATTTGATTTCCTTCCACAAAAAAATGAAAGTACAGTGAAAGGTTTTAAATTGCATGTTTTTAATAGAATAAAAGGAAGAACGCAAAAAAGGTGTAAGAGGTCACTGGGAGTAGATAAAGGGGGCTTTTTAGGTTGTTCGGCGCGGCGTAATCAAGAGCCACGTGTGGAAGAAACAGAAGACGACAAAAGGGCGAGAGGCCTCTCTCGTAGAAGCGACTGGAAGAAGGAGATAGGCAAAGTGTCAACAGTGTTTCACAGCGCAGACTGAAACGACGGCGTACCTCCGAGCCTTTGAGATAGCAGCAGCGGTGGCGGTGGTGTTGCCTCTGTTTATCTGTTTGATGTGGCTCGTGTTGCCTGTCAGTCAAACGCCGTCAGAGTTATCACAGCTTACCACACGCCTCCTCTGCTATGCATAACCATGAGCAGACCGACAGCTGGAGGATTTGTCTATAAAGCACTTTGAACCAATAATGCACTGATCGCCGCCCCAGTGAGAAAAATCACGAAGTTCTAACATTAAAAGCAGCAAACATCGACCAAACGGAATGGATATATAAACTTTTACAGACGTTATCTTGAAATTCAATGTGGTTTTAATGGGACGTTGGATGTTTTAATGTATTTGTGGGTGATGTATCCAAAGCTGGGTGACTAAATAAACTCTTTATATGAAGAGTTGTAGATTTTTTTGCTTCTTCTCTTGACACAGTCGGTTTGGCACCTGGTTTTGGTTGTGATTGGAACAAAAGAGCAGTCAGAAATCGTGATTCCAACCACATAAAAATAAAAAGAGTGGAAAAGGAGCAGGAAGTGTTCAGAGCCTCGGCTCTGAAAACAGCTGAGAAAGTCCTCCAGGAAAACCTCCACTTGGCACAGGGACGGTCCGGATCAGATCCTTTACTCTGTTTCTTCAAGTCTTCCCGTCTCTCACAGGTTCGCGTCCACTTCTTCACCGGCTTTCACACTGCAACATAAGAACAGGAAACACAGGGTGTTGTAAGACGTTTTGCTGAGCTGGCTGTTATTGGTGCAGCGTCTCCACAGAGATATACTCAACTTATGGTGGGGGATGGGCATGCTGTGAAAGGATGATTTCAGAATTAAACCAAGTTGTTTGTGCTTAATAAATAAATGGCCAAGCTAATCAAGTTGCATTCCACGTTCATAGACTGCAGCTGGCAGTCCTCGCTCTGCTCTGCAGCCTTGCCACATGAACCAGCGCTCCACCCGCTGCAAGTTCTGGTTAGGATGACCTTCACTGCAAAACAAGAACTACTTCTGCAGTCTGACCACAGCAGCACAGCAGCAACGTGGCAGCAGGTTAACTTAACACAGCAAGAGAGAGGCACTTCATCTATGTATTTATTAGTGGCTGAACTAATATTACTATATTATTAACTATATTAGTAATATTAGGGTTTGGTGGCATGTTTAAAATGTGTCTGTTTCCAACCAGAATTTGCTGTTATACTTGTGAGGTGTGTGCACCGAGCAAAGCATTTTTTCTTTTTGGTTGTGCTAGCTTGTCTCCTCTGCTTTGCTCTCTGTTTCACCATGTGCATAAGCTCCTCCCCCTACACAGAGCGAAAGACAACACTGGGAACAGGAGGAAAAAAGCTTTTAGCCCCCCCCAAAAAAAAAGCCTGCCAACATGCTGTATCAAAGTATGGTACGGCAGCTGCACTAAGGCGGACAGAGCGAGACTTCAGCGTGTAGTCAAGGCAGCACAGAAGATCATCGGCTGCTCTCTTCCCTCCCTGATGGGCATTTATTCCTCCCACTGCCTCAGCAGAGCAGCAAACATCATCAAAGACAGCTCCCACCCTGGTTTTAACCTGTTCAGCCTGCTTCCCTCAGGGAAGCGCTACAGGTGCATCAACACAAAGACCCACAGGCTCAAGAACAGTTTCTTCCCAAAGGCCATAACCACCCTTAACTCATACACTTACCGATAACACAGTCCCATCCCTCCATTTTCCCATTTCCCCCTATAAACCACCACTGTGCAATACCATGTTCTATGTGCAATAACCCGAACTGTATATACATCACACTATTTATTTACATATTTACTTTTTTACATCAGATTGTATATTTTTACATTTCATATATTTTGTTTCTGTTAATACTGCTCATATGTATATAGTGCTGCAGAACTGTTGGAGATGCTCTGTATCTCACTGAACAACTGTATAGTGACAATAAAGGCATTCTATTCTATTCTATTCTATTCTATATTGTCAAAACAAGGCCACAGCTCATTTAAAATGACCACTCCTGGTCTGAAATGTTTACACGATGGAGGGGTTAATGCTGCACACCTTTTTCTTCTGTTCACAAGGAGATTTTGAGACTGGCTTTGTTACTTCCTGTGTCAAGAAACAAAACCCTAGAATTTAAGTTGAGATTGAATTTAGGCAGGAAATCCGTTATTAGGGCAACTGCGAAACAAGCCAGGAGGCTGGTGGTAATTTCCTATACTACTCTTGCATTGAGTACAGCTTCTTGACACTGAAACTGTGCTCAGCTGAAGGAGCTACAGCACACAAACATACACAAAAAACATCAGCTGACAGAGGAGATGGGAGCAGCTGTGATGTTACTTTGATAAAAAAGAGAGCAGACGACATGACAGATGCCATATGGACTCATTTGACAGAAGGACAGAGGAAAGACAGACCACAGATGTGTGTCTGTGTGTTTGTGTGTGTGTGTTCTGTTTGCAAAATGAGGCCTCCAGTGTTGGGAGTGGGAGGCATGCATAAGAGCGCTCTCAGGAAAAAAAAAATCTAACGCACCCTCATTTTCTTGCTCTTAATTAATGCTTGCAGTTTACACTTAAATCTGCTCTGACTGACATTTATTTCCTGTGACATCACAAAGTCTACAGTCATCTTGTTTAAAAAAACATGCAAGTTTCATAAAAAACATGGCATTATAATGCAGTGACAAACTAATGTAAAGCAACAAACAAACAGATATTATTTAGGTTATTCAATGCATCAGCTATTCTTCATATGCACATGTAACAAATCTCTGATCTGGGAATCAGGGATCATTATATTATCCTACTTCATATAACTGTCAGAGCAGGAGCAGAGAGCAGAAATGAAGATGGAGAATTAAATGTCTCTACGGGGCTGTGGATGAGGAGCTTAATGGCCAAATTGTCCCTGAGAAGTATTTTCTTAGGTTTTATTTTAAGTTATCAAAGTGTTTAAAGTATTTAAATCAACTAAAGCCTAAATGTGTTTTACTTTCAGAAGAAGAACAAGAAGAAGAACAAGAACAAGAAGAAGAAGAAGAACAACAAGAAGAAGAAGAACAACAAGAAGAAGAAGAACAAGAAGAAGAAGAAGAAGAAGAAGAAGAAGAACAAGAACAAGAAGAAGAACAAGAAGAAGAAGAACAAGAAGAACAAGAAGAAGAACAAGAAGAAGGAAAGAAAGAAAGAAAGAAAGAAAGAAAGAAAGAAAGAAAGAAAGAAAGAAAGAAAGAAAGAAAGAAAGAGTATTAAGGGTTTTTCTTCACTGGGTCAGTGTCTGGCTGCACTGGATGCAACTCAGGGGTTAGAAGAAGAATGGAGTCACTCAATGATGCAACAACATTTTCTATTACAGGAAGGGAGCAAAATATTGAAAAAAAACTGATAGAACAAACAAAACAAGAGTTAAAATAGAAAATTTCATCCAGTTTTATTTTCTCCTTGAAAGCAAAGGCAGCTTTTATTCTAATCAGTTCATTCATTTATAACCCAGTGTGCTGCTATCTACAGTTATTCCACTAGGAAAGGATCTAAATATATTTTGGATCTCAGTGTTTACGTGAATGGACAGCAAATATTAGTCTTCATAATCCACAGAAAAAATAATAACAGATCAGGTATTGTTTTCTTAATTTATACACGTGCGTGTATCCATCTGTAATAAAGAAAAATCACTCTGGGGTCACACCAGGAACAATTCCAGCATATTAATAACTATTTGCTGTGGCGAACTCTTGTTTATAATGCAGCTTAGAATACAACCCTTAACTTCTGTAATTAGAAGCCCCAAATTACTCTGGCACCTCCAAAATCAAAATCCTGGCACTTCGCCTGACATATGCCACTACATGCCTCACAATGAAAACGTACACTGCTGTGCAGCACGGTTAAATGAGAGAGGAAAATATCTAGCTGACTAGTCCAAAAGTGTGAACACTTAAAATTGGGTTAAAAAAAATCGGTGTATAATAGAAAAGAGGTCTTGCTAACTACTAAAACATCTTTATTTCAATAGTTAGCTGCTGACTAACCAGGACGCCAACTTTTAATTTGTAGAGTCAAGTAGTAGAATCGATTCCCTCCCTTCTGGAGAAGCTTCATTAATGATTTGCCTTTTACAGTTAGATAACTGACTCTGAGACTATATTTGTAATAGGCTACTTTGTGATCTTCCCTGTAATAAGTCTCCATTGAGGAACAAGTCAGATGTTCTGACTGCCAGTTAAAAATCCAAATGAACAGTTTTTGAGGAAGACCGACTCCACATTAATTTGCAGGATGAACAATCCAATAGAGAAACAGGCAAAAGTGCAGTAAACACTTCAGAAGGTTGCACACGAGGAAACATGAAAGCTGGCTGCAAAGCTTGAGTAACAAAAAAGAGCAAAGAAAGGAGAACATCTGCAGGTGTGAATACTGAGGACACTAATCCAACCCACGGAAGTGTAAGAAAAACAAGACTTCAGAATAAAACAGGAAGCAGAACTGAATAATCAGTTCTCCAAACATTAAAGAAATGTTCTTCCACACGTCTATTACCTCCTTTAGCAGAGGATACACTGGAGCATCGTTCATGAGATGGAAAGGAGATAATTAAATTCCATAATAACAGCACACCCTCTGACCAGAAAGAACAAATAAAAAAGTGGGACAAATCATGTACATGCTACTTATAGATGCATTTGCACTTCATGCCATAACCTGCAGATATGTTTTAGACTTCACTAACAGGCTGTTAAACCCTCAGCTGAACTCGGCTGAAATCAAACCTGCCTTTTATTGAGATGTCACGTTGTGTGAAGAGGATAGATTTAAGTTCCACATGTGAGTTTAACAAAGTGTGTTTAAGGTTTAAGGTGTATAATTCAGTTTCCATTAGTAATAGCCATTCATGGATTACAGCTGTTAAGACCATCATGATTTAATTTTTACTTTGGGTCAGCTTGGAGAAACGATGGATGGAGGGAATTTTAGTTCAGTCACTGAAATCCTAAACATGGAAGAGAAAAAGAATTACACTGGATCACATCTCTGGAAGGAAAAAATTAGAAAATACAATTTATTTTACTGTCCTCCTTCACACCCTTCCATCACCTCATGACATTTGATCACGTTTTGATGCTCAATCATCCAGGTAAGAAAATCCCAGAAAGTTGATTCTGACTTGGATGAGTGACAAAATGTTTCTTCTACTGAAAACACAACGTCTGAGATAAAGTGGTTAGAAAAAAGGAGTCAAGCCAGGATTGTACCACTGCAAGCCTGAGTGACATAAACATCATGATCAGACTGCTCGGGTGTCGTGGACCTGACATGTAGTTACAATTGTGGAGCACGTGGGTTCCAGAGTAGGGTATGCCACAGGGTTCAGACGGGTTTGCGGGAAATAACTAAACACAAAAGTCCTGACCTAACTCATTTTTAGGTTACTCTCTTAATTCAAACTCTGTGAAAATACCTCCATTGTTTTATTTCTACATCTGACTGTTGCTTCTTTCTGGAGCAAAGAAAAATGAGATCAGCAGCAGGACAAGAATCAGTCCCCAGAGAAACAACAATACCTACAGCCAACAAAAGCTCCAAAGGCAAAACAAGCAACAGTGAAAAAAGAAGAAGAGGAAAAACAGAATTAATTATTAAATATAAAAGGTTGAAGAGAAGAGTATAAGAGAACAGAATGTTCCAGGGTTAGGGTTAGA